GGGATCCTGCCCGGCTTTGGGGGGATCCTGCCCAGTTTTGGGGGGATCCTGCATCCTGCCCGGCTTTGGGGGGGATCCTGCCTGGCTTTGAGGGATCCTATGGGATTCTGCCTGGCTTTGAGGGATCCTACCCGGCTTTGGGGGGATTCTGTCCGATTTTGGGGGGATCCTGCCCTGTTGGAAGGGGATCCTGCTTGTCTGGGATGGATTCTGTCTGATTTTAGGGGATCCTGCCCAGCTTTGGGGGGGGGGGGGGGGGGGATGCTGTCGGGCTGGGAGGGAATCCTGCCCGGCTTTGGGGGGTCTCTCCCTGTGCCATGGGCCGGGCTTGAAGCCTGGGGGAGCAGCCCTGGGGGAGCTGGCTGGGATTCTGGTGGAGATTCCAGCTAAAATCGCCTGGAAATTCTGCTTCAAATTCCCTGGGAGAGACCCTGCTGTGACTCCTGCTTTGTTCTCTTTAAAGGGATGTTTTAAGAAAGGCTCTTTTAAATTGACCCTTCCCTGTGGGCCCTGTCAGGCTTCCCAGAGTTTTCATGGAGCCTGGAAAAGCCCTTTGCTCCCCAAATCCCAGTGCCAGGTGCCCCAGCCCCTGTTTGGCAGCACCGTGTGGGTGTGCTGGGATTCCCTGGCTTGATGTGGGATGTGGGCTGGCTGTGGTGGATCATTCCTGGCCTGCTGTGGGATTTGGAATGGCTGTGGTGGGATTTCCCTGTCCTGCTGTGGGCTGTGGGATTTGGGATGTGGAATTTGGGATGTCTGTGGTGGGATTTCCCTGTCCTGCTGTGGGATTTGGACTGGCTGTGGTTGATCATTCCTGCCCTGCTGTGGGATTTTCCTGTCCTGCTGTAGGATTTGGGATGTGGAATTTGGGATTTCTGTGGTGGGATTTCCCTGCCCTGCTGTGAGATTTGGGATTTGGGCTGGCTGTGGTGGATCATTCCTGCCCTGCTGTGGGCTGTGGGCTGGCTGTGGTGTCCATGCCATGGCTCCCAGCCATCCCTGGGATGCCCGGGAGCTGGGAATGAGCTCTCCAGCACTGCCGGGGGCGGGTTTGGAGCTGAGCTCAGTCCCGGCTCCATCCTGCTCCATCCTTCCCCGGGCTCGCCCCGTCCTGCTGGGACAGGAAAAGGCGAGGGGGGGAAGGCACCGGGGCAGGCTGAGGGCACGGATGGATCTGCCTGCTTCCCCAAGGAGTGAGCTTTGGGATCACATTCCCTCTGTTCCCGGGGGCTCCTGGGCTGGGGGACACCAGTCGCATGGAACAGCATCCCTGAGCCAAACCCACGGGAAACGGGAGCCACGGGCACCTGGGGAGTGATCCCCCCTGGATCCACCCCTGGATCCACCTGAGATCCACCTGGATCCACCTGTGATCCACCTGTGATCCCTGCTCTGGATCCACCCCTGGATCCACCTGTGATCCCCCAGCTCCCTCCTTTCCCATGCTTTTATCCCGGTTGTGCCCTCCGGGAATGCAGGACGGCCTCGGGTTCTTCCCAGGGCTGGGCAAACCCATCCCAACTCCTCGGGGCAGCCCCTCAGTCCCAGCCCGTGAGGACCCTTGGAGGGATCCTGAAGGACCCTTGGAGGGATCCTGTGACATTTTTGGAGGGATTCAGTGTTCAGTGAGCATCCCAAGAGGGAATCCCGTGGGCATTCCAAGAGGGGATCCTGTGACACCCTTGGAGAAATCCTGTGGCAGTTTTGGGAGAGATCCTGTGATTATTCCAAGGTGGGGATCCTGTGACATTTTCGGAGAGACCCAGTGAGCATTCCAAGGGGGAATCCTCTCCATCGCCAGGGGCTCATCCCGAGCTGCTCCCCCGCCTCCGAAGGCCCCTCCGAGGGCTGTCCCCAGGCGGGGCTGGCCCGGCTCCAGCCCGGCTCAGCCATCCCGTCCTTCCAGCTCCGCTCCCCGGCCGCTCCTCCCCGCGGGGCGGAGGAAGGGCCGGGGCCGCGCTTATTTGTGTGGGAGAAGGAAGGGGGAACCGGCACGGATGGGATTTCTGGGAAGCGGCGCTCTGCCGCTGGAACTGTCCCGATTTCCGACTGGAAGCATCCCACGGTGACCGAACTTCACTCGCCCGCCCGTGGCGCTGCGGAGGTGGCGCTGGGAGGGGGACAAGCGACACGGCCTGGGCTGTTTGGTGACACAGAGGTGTGTCCCTGTCCCCGCGCCGCCTGGGAGGCTCCCAGGGTTTGGTTTTTGGCTCTGTTTTTCCCCCAGCAGATTCCTGGCTTTTCCCCCGCAGCTGCTCCCCGGGGCTTGGGGCGCTAATGAGGACGCGGTTGGGAAGCTGGGAATGAGCTGTGATTCACCGGGAAGCCGTTCCCGGGCACACCAGGGTGTGGTGGGCTGGAGGTGACACTAAATCAGCGCTGTCACATCCGAGGACAGCGAGGGAAAGGCTGCGGTTCCCCCCGGGGACGTCCCAAGGGAATTTCCAGAGGAAATCCTGGCAAAGGCTGCAAATCCTGAGCCTGACCCTGGGATTTGGGGAGCCCCGAGTGTGTTTTTTTAGACCATTTTTCTTAGGACAAACCCGATTTGAGGGACTTTTGGTTCTTTTGTACACGGAGGTTGGTGAGGTTGGCACGTGCCCGGTTTTTGGAGCGGCTGGAGCTGCCGTGCCATCCACGTGTGCCAGCCTTGGCTCCACAGTGGCTCTTCCCAGGCACTCAGGAATGCTTTCGGCCGCTCCACACATTTCCTGGCACCCACGCCGCGATCCCAGGCCGTTCCCAGGGCCGTGGGATGTGCCCCAGATGGGTTTGGGGCCGGAGAGCCACCGTGGCCAGCCCGGAGCCACCCGGAGCCGGCGCTACCCCGTCCTTGGGAGCCGTTTGGTGCAAAGCCCTTGCACAACCGGCACGGTTGTGTCACCGCCGGTGACAGGCTGTTCCCAGGCCCGCCAAGGTGTGGGATCAGATCTAAAAAAGGAGAATTTCCCCATTCACACCCAGCCCGACGCAAGGGACGTGTGGCACCGCACCAGCAAAACAACCGGGACGCTCGGCGAGGTGACAAGTTTGCTGTGTCACCGGAACACTCCCGGCCTTGGGACCGTGCCTGGGATCCATAAATCTCCTGGCAGGGCCTGGATGGTGCCGCTGGCACCTTCCCAGCCTCCCGCTCCGGCAGGTGTGGGGCTCCGGGTGCCGGCTATGCCAGGAATGTGCCGAATGTGTCGGGGCTTGACTGCAGGAGGTCGGGGCGCGGGGTTGGGATGAATCAGCGGAGCCTGGCAGCGCTGCAGCTCCCGGCCTGGGGCAGAGCCAGCGCTGCCCAAACCCCCGATCCAGAGGCTCCAAACAGCGCCGGGAAATGGGATCCCGTGGTGGCAGCTTCCACGTCGCCGCTGTCTCGTGACCCTGAGGTGCCGCGTTTGTGGCTTTGTTGTTTTTTTTTTTCTGAGCGCGGGAGATCCTGGAGTGGAAAATTGGGGGATTTATCCAAAAAGCATCAAGAGGCTCCACAGGGAGTGGCACAGACTGATGGAGCCAAGGGGGGGCTCACCCTGAGCCCCATCCCGGTGGACCGGAGAGGGAATTGCAGCTGCTGGATTTGCAGAGCCTCAGGAATCACTGCTGCGAGCAGGGGGATGCTTCACTTCACCCCCTGCACCCCCTGAGCGCTCGCAATTTGGGGTGTTCATAAGAAGATTGTGGCTTTATATCCTGGGTGGGTGTGGGGAGTGGGAATTCCCAAAGCTGTTCCCGTTCCACGGCTTCTCATGGACTCGGGGAGCCAAACCGAGCCCCACATCTGCAGGGCCTTATCAGCTGCCGCGCCTGCCTCGCTGCCCCGGGCGCTTTTGTGGCTGTTTGGTGGGATTTGACCGTGATTGAAAGCAGCCCTTGGCCGCCCCGGCTGCAGCCCGGGGGTGGTGCCGTGCAGATGTTTGTCCAAGGCTGTTTGTGATCATTCCAGCCCCGACGCCCCCGGCGCTGCAGCTGCGGCTGGACAAGGGCGAAATTCCCGCGGTGGTCCGGCCGGGAAGGCGGTGCCGGTGCTGTGAGTGCTCCAGGGACGGGGGACAGGGGTGAGGGACAGGGTGGAGACCCTCTGTGTGCTGGTGGGGACAAGCTGAGGGGACCTGGCGTGGGATGCTCCTGGGAGCTGGCGGCAGAAGCGCAGGGTCCCCAGGTGCCACCGCGCCGCGGGGCTGTGCAGGGACACGGCGGGGAACCGGCAGCCCGAGGTTAATCATTCAACCCCTCGGCAGGTTGGGTAACGCAGCCAACGGCGCGGCGGGGGCGGGGGGAGGTGACAGGGACATCTGTCCACCCGCTCCGCAGGGCTCCGGCACGGGGACAGCGCTGTTCTCCTCCTCCTCCTCCTCCTCCAGCCCCTCTCCGTGGGGATGCAGGTGCTGATCCCGGTGGTCCCGTGGGGACCGCAGCGTGCGGGGGGCGGGGGGGGACAGGGACGCTGTGACAGCGCCGTGTGGCGGCTGAGCGGGAGCCGAGCTGGCCCCCGGCACGGCTGAGGGAGCCAAGAGCCGCAGCTGGGTTGTAAACACGCCGGGGTAAAGTTACAGCCATTGATGATCCTTGGAAAAGCTGCGGGGAAAGGGAGAGGGAGCTCCGAGAGCCCCGAGCTGCGGTCCCGGCGTGCGGGGAGCCGTCCTGGGGTGCGGGGAGCAGCCCCGAGCTGCGGTCCCGGCTTGCGGGGAGCAGCCCCTGCCCCTCGGGATCAGCCCCTGCCCCCCGGACCAGCCTGAGCGTGGGGACAGCGGCGGCTCCAGCAGCTCCCTCCGGGTTGTGGCAATTGGGGCAGCTCGGGGACACGCGCGGCTCCCAGCGCTCCTGTCCCGGGGACAGGGACAAGGGAGGGGGACACGCAGCCAGGACGCCGCAGGAGCGCACGCGGGTCCGTGCGGGTGCGGAGCCCCTTGGAAACACTTTTTCCTGCCGGGCCAGTTGTCCTGCGGTGCCTTTGCCGTGTCACGGTGCCATTGAAGGCGCTTCCAGCGGGAGCAGGGGGTGGCTCCCGGCGCTCCGCCCGGAGCCGAGGGGGTTAAAGCTGGCGGCAGCTGCGGCGGCTGTTAATGATTGATACCAATGACGGTCTCCATGGGCTTGGAAGGGAAATCATCCGCCCCGGCCGGCTGCGGGAGAGCCACCGGCACGGCGGGTGGCGCGGCAGGCGGAGGGGACGCGCGGTGGCACCGGTGAGTGTGAGCGCGTGTGTCTGTGTGTGTGCAGCCGTGTCACAGAGCCTGGCCTGTCACACGGACCCCGGCCGTGTCACACGGACCCCCGTCGTGTTACACGGAGCCTGGCCGTGTCACGCAGACCCTGGATGTGTCACACGGGGCCTGGTTGTGTCACACAGACCCCCGTCGTGTCACACGGAGCCGGGCCACGGCACCCGTGGGCCATTGTCTGCGGCCAGCGGCACGGCGAGCAGCGGGTGGCCCGAGGGTGGTGACAAGCAGAGCTGGCAGGAGCAGCGCGCCAGGCACGGCCCCGTCACACCTGGCTGTGATTGTGGAGCCCACGGCTCGGGAAGGTGCTGGGGATTTGTCCCTGCAGGATTTTCCCAGCGCCGCTGCCGCAATCCCCTGAGCTGACCCGGCCGGGGAGGGGTCGGGGCCCAGCTCGTTTGATGGCGGGGATTGTTCGGGACAGGAATTCCCGGCAGTGGAAGCGGCTTGCTAAAGAGCTCAGGGAGAGTTTGAACCCTCCAGGTGGCGGCTTGGAGGTTGTGGTGGAAATGGTGGCACTGGGTGGGGATGGTGACTCCTGGTAGGAATGGTGGCACTGGGTGGGAATGATGGCACTGGGTGGGGATGGTGACTCCTGCTGGGAATGGTGGCACTGGGGGGGGGAAATGGTGGCACTGGGTGGGAATGGTGGCTCCATGTGGGAATGGTGGCTCTGCAATCCCAGTGATCCCATGCCCAAGGAACTGGGACTCTGTCCCCACCAGAGGACAATGGAGTGACATCAGAGCTGCCAGGGCACGGGCTGTCACCCTCTCCGCCCTGATCCAGGGCTGTCACCCTCCCCAGATGTCCCCCATGTGCTCAGGACGCTGCTCCAAACCCCCGGCAGCAGCGGCGGCGCTTTTTGGCCGGCAGCCCCGTGGGCCGTGCCTGGGCTGGAGCCGGGGTTTCCAGGGAGATAAAACACAAACTCCCGGTGCTTTTTTTGTGCTTTTTGTGCTTCTCCCCGACCCCAGCTGGCGCGGCAGCAGGGGACTCGCCCTCCCCGCCGCCGCCGGCCGCGCTGGCTGCCAGCAGCCGCTTTGTTCTCTGGAAATCCCCGGCCTTCCCCCCTCCGTCCCCCGGGAGCTTCCCCCCCTGTCCCTCCCCGCGCCCCCCAACCCCGGGATGTCCCCGAGTGACGCTGCTGATGTCGCACACGGCCCGCGGGTGTGCGGGAGCTGCCGGCCGCCCTTCCCGAGGACTTTGCCCGGCTTGGCGAGGCTGGCACCGCAGCCCGGCCGCTTCCCAGGGCACCCAGCTCGGCCTCGGCCTCCGCTTCCCTCCCTGCGCCGCTCCCGCGGGAGCCACGGCACGAGGGGGAGCCGGTGGCCAGCGTGGCCTGCAGGAGAGGGTGGCCCTGGGATGGTTTTTGTGGCCTGGGTGGCTCTGGGATGGTGTTGGGTCTAGGTGGCCCTGGTTTCTGGGGTCTGGGTAGCCCTGGGATGGTTTTTGGGGTCTAGGTAGCCCTGGGATGGTTTTCAAGGTCTAGGTAGCCCTGGTTTCTGGGTCTGGGTGGCCATGGGATGGTTTTTGGGGTCTGGGTGGCCATAGGATGGTTTTTGGAGTCTAGGTAGCCCTGGTTTCTGGGTCTGGGTGGCCATGGGATGGTTTTTGTGGCCTGGGTGGCCATGGGATGGTTTTGGAGACCTGGGAGGTCCTGGGCTGGAGTGACCTGGGATGGTGTTTGGGTCTAGGTAGCCCTGGGCTGGTTTCTGGTGTCTGGGAGGTCCTGGGCTGGCATTTGGGGTCTGGGTGGCCATGGGATGGTGTTTGAGGTCCAAGGGTTCCTGGGATGGTGTTTGGGGTCTGGGGGTTCCCAGCCCCCGTGCCCAGGTGACCCCACTCAAAGCCTGGAGGTGCTTTGGAAGTGGCTCCGAGGGCAGCCAGGGCAGGAGGTGACACTGGGGACATCGCTGCGGGCACAGCCCTGGAGGGGCCACGGCTGCTGCTGTCACCTTTCCTGCCCTCTCCCAGGGCTGCCGTGGCATTCCTACAACTCCAGCAGGCCGAGGTCTCGCTGGCCAGGGCAGGAGCTGGGATGAGCCCGTGTGGAGATGGAAAATTTAATTCCATTTATTTTTTCAATCCCTGTGGTCCCTGCAGGATGGACCCAGCGTGCAGAGAATCCCTGGGTTTTTGTGCCTTATAATCAGTTTTTCTCCCTGTTTTTTGTGTCTTATAATCTGGTTTTTCCCTGATTTTTTTGCCCTCTGGGGTTTTTTGTGCCTTACAATCCATTTTTTCCCACCCTGGGCTCCTCTGCAAAGCGGGGCTCAGCACTTTGTCCCTGCTGCCCCAAGGGTGGATTGTCCCTCATGGGGACCGTGGGGGACAGGGTGACCCTGAGTGGCCTCCCCTGGGTGCTGAGCACTGCAGTTCCTGGGGAGAACAGAAGGGGATTTCTGAGGGATGAGAGGTGAAGAAAAGGTTGGAAAAACACGGGAAGGGAAGGGAAGGGAAGGGAAGGGAAGGGAAGGGAAGGGAACTTTGGGTGAAGGGGTTTTATGGCCACTGAGGGGGAATTTTGGCTGCCTTCACCCCCCTGTCCTGTCCCACCCCTATCCCAGTGTGGGGACCCCTCCATCCCTGCCCTCCCCAAGCCAGGGGTGGCACTCACAGTGTGACAGTGGCTCTGGGGGTCTTTGGGGACAGGAGGTGGCACCCACAGTGTGACAGTGGCTCTGGGGGTCTTTGGGGACAGGAGGTGGCACCCACAGTGTGACAGTGGCTCTGGGGGTCTTTGGGAACCTGCCCTGGCTTGTGGATTGAAGAGCTGGAAATCCACAGCCCCGCTGGGCTGAGGGAGGGGACAGGGGGACAGGGAATTGTCACTCTGCTCCCAGCAGACTCCAGCTCTGGGGACAAACAGCAGCGTTGGAAGTTTTATTCCTCAGTTATGGCATTCATCCCCTGCTCCTGCTCCGTGTCCTTCTGGGAAAGCTCCAGGAGGTTCCAGGGATTCCTCTGATGCTCATCCCGAGGGGAAGCAGCGACGTTTCCCCCTCAGCTGCCCCGGGAGGTCGGGGGGAGCTGTTGGCACCCCCAGAGCGTGCCCACGGCTCGGGCACGGATCATGGACCAGCCATGGCTGTGCCGTGTCCCTGCCCACCCCCAGGCACCGCTGACTGTGACAGAGCCCAGCTGGTGCCAGGACCGTGGTGCCAGCTCCAGGCTGGCAAACCCGGCCTGAACCCGGCTCAAAGCCCCCGAGCCTGGCACAGCCCCTGTGACACCGAGCTGGGGTGGCAGAGGGTGACACCCCAACATGGAGCCCTCCCTGCTCCTGCCACACTGTCCCCAGACTGCTGTCCCCAAAAGTGTCCCCACAGCCTCCCCTGGCACGTCCCATCCCGCCGTGGTGGCAGCGCCACCGGGTGAGCCCTGGCAGTGTCACCAAGGAGGGTGGCACGGCCCGCAGCCGTTGGGGGACCTTGTCCCCGGATCCTTGGCTGGTGACGATGGAGGAGCGGGTGAGCCACTGAGATGGGGACATGGGGACATGGGGACGGGGGGGACAGGCACTGGTTCGTACACCGGCATGAGGCAGTGCTGCCCGTGGGCAGTGTGGTGCCCGGTGCCTTAAAAAGGTGAATTTGGTGGGTTTGGCTTTGGCTTGGTTTGGATTTGTTTTGGATTGGATTTGGTTCAGTTTGGGCTCGGTTTGGGTTCGGTTCAGTTTGGATTTGGTTCAGTCTGAATTTGGTTCGGTTTGGGTTCAGTTTGGGTTTGGTTTAATTTGGGTTCAGATTAGTTTGGATTTGGTTTGGTTCAGATTTGGTTTGAGTTTAGATTTGGTTCCGTTTGGATTTGGTTCAGTTTGTATTTGTTTAGGTTTGGATTTGGTTCCGTTTGGATCTGGTTTGCGTCTGGATTTTATTCAGTTTGGATTTGGTTCAGCTTGGATTTGGTTCAGTTTGGATTTAGTTTAGTTTGGATTTAGCTCAGTCTGGATTTGGTTTGGTTTGTGTTTAGCTCAGTTTGTGTTTAGCTCAGTTTGTGTTTCATTTATTTTGTGTTTAGTTCAGTTTGGATTCAGTTCCGTGGCTGCCGCAGCGTTGGCACATTCTGGGATGGGCTGGGACCACTGGTGCCACCCCTGGGCTGGTCCCTGGCACTGAGCTCACCCCAGAGGGGCACAATTCGCAATTTTGGGAGGAAGACGCGGTGCTGGGCAGTGTCCCACGGTGCTCCCGGGATTTTCGGGAGCAGGGCCGTGGCGGGAGGGAGCCCAGCCGCCTCCCCGTGCTGCGCTTCCTTCTTTGGAGCTTTCCTGGCCGTGCCAGCCCTTCCCTCCCTCCCTCCTGCCCAAGGATTCTCCTGCCCGCCCTCAGGGCTTTGCATTCTCTTCCCAAAGTCCAGGCGGAGCGTGGCTCACCCCAAATCCCGCTCCTGCCCGTTCCCAAGGGCTCCCCGGGGTTTTTTTGGGGGTGCTGATACCCTGCGGGGTCTGTGCCCCCCCCCCCCCCCCCCCGTTTGGTGCTTGTCCCCATCCTGGTCCCCGAGATTTCCTCCCGGTGTCCCCTGGGGAAGGAACAGCCGCGAGGAGGAGGGTGACACAGCCGGGGATGCTTTGGGGACACCCGAGGATGCTTTGGGGACACACGAGGATGCTTTGGGGACACAAGCAGGGGGAAGGGACGCAGCCACTGAATCCAGGGCAGCGACAGAGCTCGGCTCAGCGCGGCTGCTTCCCTCGCTGTGACACCCGCCCTTCCCGCTGCCCTGCCGGGCTGGGGGGACCCGGGAGCCCCTCACCAGCCCTTCTGAGCCCCCCTGAACCCCCCCGAGCTGCCCGTGTCGCCCTTCCCCTGCCACCAGCAGCTCCCCGGCTCCGCACCTGGGCTGGGGGAGGCGGCTGTGCCGCGCTGCCCTTCGCCTCTCCTCTGCGGGGACGCGAGCGGGAGCTGTTTGTCCCCGCTGTCGCCTTCCCCGCCGGCTGCCGCACACCGGGGCTGCCCAACCCCGCCGCTACCGGAGCCCACCGGAGCCCCCCGGAGCCCCCCGAGCTCCGCCACCGCCGCCAGCGGCACCGCCAATGCCACCGGCGCGGGGCGCGGGGGACTGGCACGGCTGGCAGAGCACGGGCACAGCCCTCGCCCACCGCCCGCGTCCCCCGGCCCCGCGGGGCCGCCCCGGTGGCCCCGCCGTGCCCCGGCAGCGCGGTGGTGGCAGCGGGCACCGGAGCGGTGCCATGCCGGGAGCCGGGAGCGGGCGCTGAGCCGCGCGGGCCCCCGGGACCATGCTGAAGTTCCGGGCGGACCGGAGGGTGAGGTAGGAGCCCGCAGGGGTCTGGGGGGACCCGCGGGGAGCCGGCGGGGCGGGACCCCCGGGCCGGGCAGTGGATCCGGGCAGTGGCTGCTGCATTGCAGTGCTGGGAGGCGATGGGCACTGGCGAGGCTCCGGAGCGGGGTCAGCCCCGGCAGCGGCTGCCGGGCGCTGCTTTCCGCAGCTTTCGGCTCCCCCCGGGGGCTGGGGGCGCGGGCAGGTTTGGGGTGGGGGGAGGCAGCGCGGTGGGTGCCAGGAGGAGCCGAGGGGGCTGCGAAATGGAGGTGTCCTGCCCGCAGGGAGAGTTCAGGGACCTGCAGGGATGGGGGGGGGGGACGACACCCAGCGTGGGGTTCAGGGAGGTGGGCAGGGATGGGGGCACCCCCGGCGTGGGGTCCAGACGGGCTGGTGGGTGCTGGCAGCGCCCACTTCCCACGCCTGGCGCTTTCGGGGTGCTGCTCTCCCAGCACTGCACCCTCCCCGCGCGGCAGCGTCACTGCGGGGACGGCACCTGCCCCAATTCCCGGGATTTGAACACCCCCGGAGGCAAAAACCGCTCCGGGAGCAGCTCCAGCCTTGTGGCAGAGCCGCCCCGGCTGTGCTGGAGCGCGGGCCGGGCACTGAGGGCGGCTCTGGTCAGACCACGCCGGCACTGGGGGGGTCTGGACAGTGAACCCCTCGAATTGTGGGGTGCACGCTCGTCCCCCGGGTTTTTAAGGTGCCCCCGAGCACTGCTGGAGCCTGGCAGGGGGCGGCAGCTCGGCAGGAGCAGCACTTTTTGGGGTGAATAGCTCCAGAGCCTGGCATGGCATGGCATGGTCTTGGCAGCGGCGTTTTTTTGCTCAAACTTCCCCCATTTTGCTGACTGGCAGGAGGAGTTGGTGGCATGCTGGGGCTGCTGGCACCGGGGTGACTCCGTGTCCCAGTGCCTGGCGGGTTTGGGAAGGAGGGGATGGGATCCGGTGTGAAATTCCTGGCATGGAGCTCTGAACCTCGCCCTTTCCCCCTGGGCACCCCAGGAAGCGGCGTGGGAGGGGGGTCTGGGGTGTCTGGCAGTGCCACCTCCTGGGATGGGGCAGGGACGTGGCACAAGGTGCCAGCTGAGCCTGGGACAGCCCTGGGACAGACTGGTGTCTGGGGTCTGAGAGGTCCTGAAGTGGTGTTTGGGGTCTGAGGGGTCCTGGGGTGGTTTTTTGGGGTCTGAAGAATACTGGGGTGGTGTTTGGGGTCTGAGAGGTCCTGGGGTGGTGTTTGGGGTCTGAGGGATTCTGGGGTGGTGTTTGGGGCCCAGCCCCCGTGCCCCAGCCCCTGTGCCCAGGTGACCCCACTCAAAGCTTCGAGGTGCTCTGGAAATGGCTCCGTGAGCAGCCAGGGGAGGAGGTGACATTGGGGACATTGCTGCGGGCACAGCCCTGGATGGGCCATGGCTGCTGCTGCTGCTGCAGCGCCTTGTGAGTGTGGCCAGTGGTGACAGCCGGGGTGTGACAGCAGCAGGGGGGGCGGCTCTGCCACCACAGCCCTGATTTTGGCACTTGAATGAAAACCATGAATGCCCAGGGAAGGGCTGGAGTGGCCGAGGGAGCTGGGAAGGGGCTCAGCCTGGAGAAAAGGAGGCTCAGGGGGGACCCTCTGGCTCTCCCTGGCAGGAGGGGCAGCCAGGGGGGCTCGGGCTCCGCTCGCCACGCCTGGGGGTGTCCCATGCAGTGGATGTGGCACTTGGGGACATGTTTGGTGCTGGGTTAACAGCTGGGCTCGGTGATCTTGGAGGCCTTTCCAAACTAAACGATTCCATGATGCCGTGAAGGATCCCAAGTCTGGGATTAGCAGCGTGCTCGGGGCAGGGCAGGGATGCCAGCCCTGGTGCCAACCCCGGTGTTGGCGTGGAACCAACAGAGCAGCAAACGTGATGCCAAAGGGACTCCGTGGGTGACACAGGGACAATGTGAGGGACTTTGTGGGGGACATGGGGACTCCTAACACCCACCCCATGGCTGTCCCCACAGCCACAATGAAAGGCGGAACACCTTCCTGCACCCAGTGACGGGACAGGTCCCCGAGGACACCTCAAGGCTTGACTTGCCAAAGTAGGTCTGCTCCCAATCCCTTTGGGCTGGGGGAGCCGGGGAGGGCTGGGAACACTGAGGGAGCCAGGGTGGGCTGGGAACACTGGGGGAGCTGGGCTGGGCTGGGCTGGGGGAGCCAGGGAGGGCTGGGAACACTGGGGGAGCTGGGCTGGGCTGGGCTGGGGGAGCCAGGGAGGGCTGGGAAGGCTGTGGGATGACCCCAGCGGGCTGCAGGAGCACAGACCCGCTGATTCCCCTCTCCCGTGTCACAGACACAGCTCGGACATGTCCAGCAAGGCGGGCAGCAAGCGGCCGGCCACCGTCCCCAGCGAGCCCCCCAACCACGCCATGGTGGCCGAGGTGCCCCCGGAGCGCCCCGGAGGCCGGGTGAGTGCCCGGGGCGGTGTGGCACGGCTGTCACCAGCCCGGACAGGGACTCAGAGAGCCCAGCCCGGGCACTGAGCATCTCCTCTCGCTCCGCGCAGGCTCCGCGCTCATCCCGCAAGGGCATCGCCTTCGGGAAGCGCTCCAACTCCATGAAGAGGAACCCCAACGCCGCCGTCACCAAGAGCGGGTGGCTCTACAAGCAGGTACCCCCCCCGTGCCACCCCTCCCGGCCCCGCAGAGCCCCGGGAGCCCCCGGCACGCTCTGAGCGCCCCTCTCCCGCAGGCCAGCTCTGGGGTGAAGCAGTGGAACAAGCGCTGGTTCGTGCTGGTGGATCGCTGCCTCTTCTACTACAAAGGTACGGCCACCCCCGGAGCCCGTGGCCACCTCCAGCGTGCCCCGGGGCCACCGGCACAAAGTCCCCGGCGCTTTCGGCGCTCCGCCCTGTTTTTCGCGGTGTTTGCCGCGCCCAGGGGTTAATCCCGAGGTTTCCCCGCCTCCCTGGCAGCTCCCGGGCTCGCATCAATAATTGAGGAGGTTGTTTGTGAGCCTGGCACAGCTGCGGGAGCAGCAACAGGCAGGGAGCCGATCCCACAGGTGGGACGGAGCCGGGGCGTGGCGGGGGGCTGTTCCGGGGGTCCCTCCGTGGGTGTAACCCCAGGATTCACCCCCCCCAGACGAGAAGGAGGAGAACATCCTGGGCAGCATCCCCCTGCTCAGCTTCCGCGTGGCCGCCGTGCAGCCCTCGGACAACATCAGCAGGAAGCACACGTTCAAGGTCAGTGTCCCTGCCGGGGCTCGCAGGGGACAGCGTGGCACTGGCGTGGCACTGGGGTGGCACTGGTGATGCTGGCAGGGTCCCCACTGCTCTTGTGGCTTTCTTGGTGACGGGGCATGGAGCGCGCTGCGGTGACCGCCGTGGGTTGGACCTGCGACACAGCAGTGTCCCCAAGGTCCCCACCCCCTCTGCAGGGCCCTGCTGGGTGCTGCCGCCCCTCTCCCTGCCCTGCTTTCCCCTCTCCACGGCCGCTGTCCCCAGCGGAGCCGGGCTCGGAGCTGTCCCCAGTTCCAGCCCCGTTTGAGCCGCTTGCCTGGCAAGTGTCACCGGCCAGGGGGAGCTGCCACCAGCGCCCGCTGTGCGGCTGGAGAGGGGAGCAGGGAGAGGTGATGGCGGCTGCTGCTCCCCCACGTCCGTCCCTGGCAGGCTCTGAGCTTCCCTGGCGCTTTTTGGCACCGCTGGGCACCTTTGGCATCGCCGGGCACCGTCCCCAGCCCAGCTGCTCGCGGTCAGGGGTCACTGTGACACTGCCTTGTTGGCCCCAGTGTGCCCTCCCCGTGTCCAGAGCCGGGGCCGGGCTCCCCACAGGGCACTCCCGAGTTTTCCCAGTCTAAGGGAGGGATTTGTGGAGCTGCCCCACCTTAAACCTGAATTTAGGCTCAGCTGGGCGGGGTTTAGAGGGGAGGGATGGCATGGGGTCTGCCCTGTGCCCGTGCCCACACTGGTGTCACCTTCTGTGACCTGGGAGTGTCCAGGGAAGGGTCTGGAGAATCCTGAGGGAGCTGGGAAGGGTTTGGAGAGTCCTGAGGGAGCTGGGAAGGGGCTCAGCCTGGAGCAAAGGAGGCTCAGGGGGAATTTGTGGCTCTGCACAACTCCCTGCCAGGAGGGGACAGCCGGGGGGGATTTGGGATCTTGTCCCAGGGAACAGGGACAGGAGGAGAGGGAACGGCCTCAGGCTGGGCTGGGGAGGCTCAGGTTGGACATCAGCAGGAATTCCTCCTGGAAAGGGCTGGAAGGGGCTGCCCAGGGGGGTTTGGAGTGCCCATCCCTGGAGGTGGCACTGAGTGCTCAGGGTGGGGATTGGGCAGAGCCTGAACTCGATGATCCCACAGGGATTTTCCAGCCTCAGTAAATCCATGATTCTCTGAAATCCCTGTTCCCTGACACTGATGAGGGAAACCCTCTCAAAGCTGCTGCCCACACCCCGAGCTCTGCAGCTTCTGGGTTTGGGAGAACAATTTTGTCCAGGGAAGGGCAGAGGGGTTCCCACCCCACACCCACTGACCCCGTGTCTGTGTTTCCTCCTCCTCCTCCTCCTCCCTCGGCGGGCGAGGATGCCAGGACAGGAGGGGTTTCTTGGTGCCACCACCACGCCAGCACTCAGCCAGCACCACCTAGGTAGTGTTCCACCTTCTCGTGTTCCTGGTGCATGCAGAGGCTGGGGGACCCCCGGGCTCGCTCTGCTCCCCGCTCCCGCTAATCCCAGGGATGGATCCTTCCATTTCCCCTCTTCCTCTGCCTGCAGAGCTTCCAGAAGTGCATGGGGGGGCTCAGGAGGTGACCCCAGCTGGGCACAGTGGCTGCATGCTCTGGGTAGGATGGAAACTCAAGGGAGGGGTTTAATCAAACCTAATTTTTCTGTTTTAGTTAATTTTTTTTTTTTTTAAGAGATTGAACCATTGAAATTCTTTCAGGAGGAGAACTCTGCTTCCTCCCTTCTCTTCCTCCTCTCTTTCCCCCATCCCTTTCCACAGGGGGAAGGTGGAAGCTTCAAAAAAGCTCTCAAATAAAGGCTCCTTCCAGCACGTTCTGGGCGGAGAACAGGCACCAACGTCTTGGATCAAAACTGAACCTTTTCTTCCCAAAATATTTCCTGGGCCGAGAAACCACCTTCCCCCTCCCCCTGCATGGACGATGCTGCTCTGGTGCTGCCGCTCTTGCCGGGCCCCTTTGCCACCCCAATACTGGGCTGCTGCTCCTCTCAGGGTGGGGGCTGGACCCAAAAATCCCCTGGGAGTGACTCCAAGGGGGATAAAACCCTGCCTGCAGAGCTTTCCCCCCGCACACGGAGGGGAAGGAGCGCTGCTGGCAGCCCCAGGGGCAGCGGGATGCAGTGCCAGGCTGGAAGCGGAGCGCTCACCCCCTGTCTGTGTCTCCCTCCCCGTTCTGTGCCCCCACAGGTGACGGTGTGCTGGGTGGAGGAGCTGCCGGCGGGTAACGGGCAGTCCCTGTCTCCCCAGGCCGAGCACGCCGGCATCCGCACCTACTTCTTCAGCGCCGAGAACACGGAGGAGCAGGAGTCCTGGATCCAGGCCATGGGCGAGGCCGCCCGCGTGCAGATCCCGCCGAGCCAGAGGTGAGCGCCACAGCCCGGCCCGGCCCTCCTGGGGACACGGCGCTGTCCTTGCCCAGCGCCACAGCCCGGCCCGGCCCTCCTGGGGACACGGCGCTGTCCTTGCCCAGCGCCACAGCCCGGCCCGGCCCTCCTGGGGACACGGCGCTGTCCTTGCCCAGCGCCACAGCCCGGCCCGGCCCTCCTGGGGACACGGCGCTGTCCTTGCCCAGCGCCACAGCCCGGCCCGGCCCTCCTGGGGACACGGCGCTGTCCTTGCCCAGCGCCACAGCCCGGCCCGGCCCTCCTGGGGACACGGCGCTGTCCTTGCCCAGCGCCACAGCCCGGCCCGGCCCTCCTGGGGACACGGCGCTGTCCTTGCCCAGCGCCACAGCCCGGCCCGGCCCTCCTGGGGACACGGCGCTGTCCTTGCCCAGCGCCACAGCCCGGCCCGGCCCTCCTGGGGACACGGCGCTGTCCTTGCCCAGCGCCACAGCCCGGCCCGGCCCTCCTGGGGACACGGCGCTGTCCTTGCCCAGCGCCACAGCCCGGCCCGGCCCTCCTGGGGACACGGCGCTGTCCTTGCCCAGCGCCACAGCCCGGCCCGGCCCTCCTGGGGACACGGCGCTGTCCTTGCCCAGCGCCACAGCCCGGCCCGGCCCTCCTGGGGACACGGCGCTGTCCTTGCCCAGCGCCACAGCCCGGCCCGGCCCTCCTGGGGACACGGCGCTGTCCTTGCCCAGCGCCACAGCCCGGCCCGGCCCTCCTGGGGACACGGCGCTGTCCTTGCCCAGCGCCACAGCCCGGCCCGGCCCTCCTGGGGACACGGCGCTGTCCTTGCCCAGCGCCACAGCCCGGCCCGGCCCTCCTGGGGACACGGCGCTGTCCTTGCCCAGCGCCACAGCCCGGCCCGGCCCTCCTGGGGACACGGCGCTGTCCTTGCCCAGCGCCACAGCCCGGCCCGGCCCTCCTGGGGACACGGCGCTGTCCTTGCCCAGCGCCACAGCCCGGCCCGGCCCTCCTGGGGACACGGCGCTGTCCTTGCCCAGCGCCACAGCCCGGCCCGGCCCTCCTGGGGACACGGCGCTGTCCTTGCCCAGCGCCACAGCCCGGCCCGGCCCTCCTGGGGACACGGCGCTGTCCTTGCCCAGCGCCACAGCCCGGCCCGGCCCTCCTGGGGACACGGCGCTGTCCTTGCCCAGCGCCACAGCCCGGCCCGGCCCTCCTGGGGACACGGCGCTGTCCTTGCCCAGCGCCACAGCCCGGCCCGGCCCTCCTGGGGACACGGCGCTGTCCTTGCCCAGCGCCACAGCCCGGCCCGGCCCTCCTGGGGACACGGCGCTGTCCTTGCCCAGCGCCACAGCCCGGCCCGGCCCTCCTGGGGACACGGCGCTGTCCTTGCCCAGCGCCACAGCCCGGCCCGGCCCTCCTGGGGACACACTGCTGTCCTTGCCCAGTGTCACTGCCCTGCCCTGCTGGGGACACGGTGCTGTCCTTGCCCAGTGCCACCACACTGCCCAGCCCTCCTGGGGATACACTGCTGTCCTTGCCCAGTGCCACCGTAATGCCCGACCCTCCTGGGGACACGGGGCTGTCCTTGCCCAGTGTCACTGCCCAGCCCTACTGGGGACACGGGGCTGTCCTTGCCCAGTGCCACCACCCAGCCCTCCTGGGGACACACTGCTGTCCTTGCCCAGTGCCACCACACTGCCCGACCCTCCTGGGGACACGATGCCCTCCATGCCTGGGGACATTTTGGGGTGTAAGAAACACTCTGGAGAAGGGAGCTGGGGGAGTGGTGACCCCACAAGGCTCAGGGGGGGACAAGACATCACCAGCCACTCCTCAACCCAGGTCAGTGCCCACCACACTGCCTGGCCCTCCTGGGGACGTGGTGCCCTCCATGCCTGGGGACATTTTGGGATGTAAGAAACACTCTTGAGAAGAGAGCTAGAGAAACGGTTCAGGCTCGGGGAGGGACAGGGCATTGCCAGCCACCCCCGGGGCACTGCCAGGCCTTGCTGACCCCCCTGTGGTGTCTCGGCACCCCCAGGCACGAGAAGCCAGACTCGGAGAACATCCCCCCCAGCAAACACCACCACCACCACCACTGCAACGCCGCCCACCGCGAGCACCCCAAGGCCGAGCCCGACGCCAAGACCCGCGGGGAGGGCGACGGCCGCGGCTCGGAGAAGATGGAGCGGAAGCCGTCGGAGCGGGCGGACGGCAAGAAGGAGCCTCTGGCCAAAGCCAACGGCCTCGGCGGGCAGGAGCCGCCCTCAGAGCCGGGCAGTCCCTACCCCGAGGGGCCGCGGGCGCCGGCGAGCGCCGAGCGGCCGGCACAGCCCAACGGGTGGCCGTACCCCTCGCCCAGCCGGCCCAGCAGCACCGCCTTCCCCCCGGCGGGTGACGGCGAGAGCGGGGCCCAGCGCCGGGGCGTCACCCCCAGGTCCCACCCCGAGAAGGTGGCCCAGCGCAAGAGCTCCATGACGCAGCTGCAGCAGTGGGTGAACTCGCGCCGCGCCACCGCGGCCCCCGAGGAGCTGCGCAGGTGAGGGTGCGCCGGGATGTTCCTTTGCTCCGGGGTTGGCCCCTCTGGGAATGTTCTGCCCCGTCTTTTCTGCTTTGTGGCCTCCTGGGGGTCAGAAATCTCGTTTTTCTCTCATTTTTTCTTTGTCTTGTGCCAGCTCAGAGCTGGGTGTGGGACATCCCAAAAAGGGATGGGTTGTAGAGGGGCATCCCTGAGAGGAGGGAGGCCAGGATGGGGAAGCCACCACAGGATCCTTTGGAGGAGGGATACAAGGGCAGGAAGCCACCAGGAGACCTCTGGGATGAGGGGTGCCAGGACAGAAAACCACCTCAGTGTCCCTGCAGGAAGGATATGAGGAGAGGAGGGCACCATGAGACCCCAGAGAGGAGGAATTCCATGAGGGGAAGCTCCTGTGGCATCCCTAGGATGAGAGATGCCAAGAGAGGAGGCCACCACAGGGTCCCTAGGAGGAGGAATGCCAGGACAGGAAGCCTCCTTGGTGTCCCTGCAGAAGGGAGATGAGGAGAGGAGGCCACCCTGAGATCCCAGGGAGGAATTCCATGAGGGGAACCTCCCATGGAGTCCCTGGGAGGCAGGATACCAGGACAGGAAGCCACCTCAGTGTCCCTGCAGGAGGGCGACAAGGAGAGGAGACCACCAGGAGACCCTAGAGAGGAGGCATTCCATGAGGGCAAGCTCCCTCAGAGCCCCTGGCAGGAGGAATTCCACAAGCACAGAACCCCTGGCAGGAGGAATTCCATGGGGGGAAGATCCCATGGAACCCCTGGCAGGAGAAATTCCACCCATCCAGCTTTCCCACTGTCCAAGCCACCTCCTTTCAGGGCTGTCCTTGCCCACCGCCAGCCCGGCTCTCACCTCCCTCTCCCCCTCTCCAGCCCCAGCAGGTTTTACCCCGTATCCCGCCGGGTGCCCGATTATTACTCGCCCTACTCGCCGCAGTACCCCGAGGAGTACCAGTACTACCCGCCGGGCGTGCGCCCCGACAGCATCTGCTCCATGCCCGCCTTCGACCGCGTCAGCCCGCCGTGGGCGCTGGAGGACAAACGCCACTCCTTCCGCAACGGGGGTCCCTTCCACCCCGCCTTCGGCCGCCAGGACGTCCCGCTGTGGCTGCCGGCGCCCGCCAGGCCGCCGAGCTACCTGGACGAGGTGGACGCGGCCTCGGGCTCGCTGCGGAGGATGTCGCTGCAGCCGCGCTCGCGCTCGGTGCCGCGCTCGCCCAGCCAGGGTTCCTACGGCCACGCCAGGGTTTACTCGCCCGTGCGCTCGCCCAGCGCCCGCTTCGAGCGGCTGCCGCCCCGCGGGGACGAGATTTACGCCGACCCCGCCACCTTCGTGATGCGCAGATCCATCAGCTCGCCCAAGGTGGGCACGGACGGGGAGGTGGGGCAGGGGTGTGGCAGTGTCCCGGCCGTGTCCCCTCTGTGTGCGCGGCCTGGCTGCAAAGTGACGCCAAGCCCTGCGGCACAGGGGGGATTGGGAGCCTTGTTGCTGTCCTGCAAAAGTTCCCTGGTTGTGTTTGTTGGATGGGATGGGATCCATGGCATGGGAACCGTGGGATGGGATCCGTGGGACGGGATGGGATCCATGGGATAGGATACATGGGATAGAATGGGATCCATGGGATGGGATCCATGGGATGGAAGGGGATCCAATGGATGGGATACATGGGATGGAATCGGATCCATTGGATGGGATGCATGGGATGGGATGGGATCTGTGGGATGGGATGCATGGGATGGGAACCATGGGATGTGATGCTTTTAGAGGAAATGGTGTGGAGTATTTAGAGGAAAACCAAGATTTTGCCCATGGCTTTTGGAGGAAAACCCTGATTTTGCGAGGGGGTTTTGGAGGAAAATCCTGGATTTGCCAGTAGTTTTTGAAGGAAAACTTTTGGGAGCCCAAGATGTGCTCCCAAGCAGGGAACGCTGATGCCCCATCCCTCTCCTGCCCTCTCCTGTGCTTTCTCCTCCTGTGCCGTGTCTCTGATTTTGGGGTGGGGTCCCCTCTCTCCACAGTACGATTACCTGGGTGACCGGCGGCCCGTCCCGGCTGGGGTGTACCCGTACCCCTTCCCGGCGTCCCCCACCATCCACGACAAAATGGTATGTACCTGCTGTCCCCTGGGGGTGACCCTGTGACGGGGGGCACAGACCCCACCCCGGGGACGTGGGGCAGTCTGGGGGGTCCTCACTCAGGTGGCCATGGAGGAACCAGTGCGCTCCAGGGGCAGAGCTGGGCCTTTCGTTGGTGTCTCCGCTCCCTCCTGGCCATTCCCGAAGGAATCCACGTGGGAAGGCCCCTCTGTAGCAGTGGGACACCCTCGGACCCCCAGGGTGGTCCCTGGCTGAGTCCAGCCCTCCCCAAACCCCGCTCTGCTTCCTCACATCTGGCCACAGCTGCTTTGTTCTCCTGCCTCGTGTCCCCTCCCGGAGCTGGGGGGTGACACCAGGAGGTCCCCGCAGATCCCAAATCCCTGGGACGGGACCGCCAGAGGAGGGAGAAGCCTGAATTTCACCACAGCCCACCCATGCCGCCCATCCATCCCCGCAGCTGGAGGCAGGGTCTCCCTAGAAATAAAAAGATAAATGAGAAATCAGCTGCCCAAGGTTCCACGGGGCATGTTCCCATTCCCAGCAGCATTCCCAGCAGCATTCCCGGCCCGGGGGCCATTCCACAGGCTCCCCCCTAACTGCTTTGCTTCTTCTTTTATGTGTTTTGCTGCTCGTTTCTTGCCTGCTGGCTCCTGGTAGGATGAACTTTTAGACCTTCAGTTGCAAAGAAACCTAGAATATTTGGACCAGCAGGTAGGCGGAGCTGGCTGCCAGCCTCACCTCACCGACTGCTTCTCGTCCCCTGCCGTGTGCCCCGTGTCCCTGTCCCCTCCTGCCATCCATCCTCACCCCTCCTGGCATCCCAGCAGCATCCCAGCAGCACCAGTTGTCTTTTTTTTTTTATTATTTCTGGTTTGGCTTCTTCCATCCTCTGCATCCGTAGGGCCGCTCATCGCTCGGCAGAAAAGTCACCCTCCCCAACCTCTGGCAGTGCCTCTGTGTGGATTTTTGGGGGTTTTTGGGTATGTTCCAGCATTTCTGAGGGTTGTCCTGGAGCTCAGCGGGTGCAGCAGCTCTGGAAACCCCCAGGGCAGTGCTGGGCACCTGCACGGTGCCAGCGTGGCCGTGCTGTCCCCAAGGCCCTTTGCCCAGGGTGTCCCCCATGCCGGGGGTGGCAGGTGACCTGTGGGGACCGTGGCCGTGGTGATGTGGTGGCCCCTCAGGGGTGAAAGGTTTGGTGAAGGTGGGCACCAAAAGCTGAAAAGCCAGCAGAGTGCAGGTGGTTCTGGAGAGGTTTCTGGAGGAAAATCTTGGTTTTGCCGGTGGTTTTGGAGGAAAACCTTGATTTTGAATGGGGTTTATCAAGGAAAATCTTGGTTTTGCCAGGGTTTTGGAGGAAAACCTTGGTTTTGCATGGAGTTTTTGGAGGAAAACCTTGATTTTGAAAGGAGTTTTTGGAGGAAAACCTTGATTTTGCCAGTGTTTTTTTGGAGGAAAACCTTGGTTTTGAATGGAGTTTTTGAGGAAAATCTTGATTTTGCCAGTGTTTTTTTGGAGGAAAACCTTGGAGGAAAACTGTGATTTTGCCAGGAGGTTTGGAGGAAAATCCTGGATTTGCCAGTAGTTTTTGGAGGAATCCTTAATTTTCACAGGGTTTTTGGAGGAAAACCTTAATTTTGCCAGTGGTTTTTGGAGGAAGCCTTAATACTGACAGGGTTTTTGGAGGAAACCTTAATACTGACAGGGTTTTTGCAGGAAAACCCCAATTTTACCAGGGTTTTTTTGAAGGAAAACCCTGGAAGGAAACCCATGATTTTGTGTGGTGTTTTTGGAGGAAAACCCTGATTCTGCCAGCAATTTTTGAAGGAAATCTGCGCTGACTCCATCCCAGGAGCGTGGGGAGGGGGATCCGGCCGGGAGTGACGCATCCAGGCAGCATCCGGAGCTTCAGCCGGGCACAGGAGCTGCAGCCAGGCTGGCACGGAGGGAGCTGCTCCCTGCACGATCCCGTTTGGCTGCAAACCTCCCGTGGCCGGGATCTGTGTCCGCCTTGGAGCGGGGCCAGGAGCTCCCGCTGCAATAAAAGCTCCCCGCGCTCTCTCGCAGCCGCCGGCAGCGCCGCAGCCTCTCCGCGGCTCTTTAAAACGCTGCCTAAAAAGGTTTGGCATCTCCTCCTCCTCCTCCTCCTCCTCTCGCAGCGGCCTCTGGAGAGGTTAATTCGGAGTGACGCTGTCAGGGGCCTCTTTTCAAACATCCTCCTGCTCTGTTCGCTCTCCCCTCCCTCGCCTGCTGCAGCCCCAGCAGGGTTTGGGCCCCGCTTTGGTGACAAAGTGTTGTCACCTTGCTGTCCCAGGGCTTCCCTGGAGTGTCCTGCTCAGGGCTGGGGGCTCTGCATGAGCTGGGTGAAGCTGCAGTGCTGGTGACTTGAGTGGCTTTGTCACCTGGCACCTAGGGAGCTCGGCCACCACTGGCTGCTTGGGGACAGTCCTGTCCCCGTGGCGTGGCACAGACCGTGCCCGGCAGCAGGGATGTGCCATTCCCGGTGCCACCTGGAAAAGGGGACGCTGCTGTCCCCAACCCCAGTGTCAGTCACCTCCCCAGCACCCAGCGTTCATTTGCAGGGCCGTGCCAGCCCCAGCTGGGCACTGAGCCACAGGGCAGTGCCAGGGCCTGTCCGTGTGTCCGTCTGTGTGCCAGGCCACGCCGCTGCCGTCCCTGTCCGAGCTCGTGTCCGTCTGTGCCATCTGGCTCTGTTTTACCCGTGTTTTCCCCAAAAAAAGCACACTAAAAGGAGCAACAGCAGCGCCAGGCCACACCCGGAGCCTCTGGGCCATCTCAGGAGGTGGCACTTTGCGTCCTGAGGGCTCCTGGACGGGTCACCGCTGGCACGGGCGCGTGTCCCCGCTGACCTGTGCCCTTTCCTTCCCTGTGTGCCGCAGATGAGCGAGAGCGAGACCCTCATCACTATGGTGAACAGGATGGTGGAGACCTCCTCCCCTAGGGCCCAGCTCTACATGCAAGTAAGGCTCCGGCCACCAGGCCCCGCATGGCTCGTGCCTGGCGGCCGTGCCAGGCCACCCCCGCGCCACCCGGGGTCACCTGCTGCCACCCGGGGTCACCTGCTGCCATCGCCACTCGCCCAGCGGCAGCCGCGGCATCCGGCACATCCCGCTCTCGCTCTCGGGGGAGGCGCTGCTCCATCCCAGGCTTTGCTAATCCATCCATGAGCCATTCCAAGCCGGCAAATCCTCGTGCTGGCAGCGCGAGGTGGGCACGGAGCTGCCCCCGGGGACCCCTGGGGACAAAGCTACCCCTGGGGACTCTCGGACGGAGCTGCCCTCGGGGACTCGCGGGGACACAGCTGTCCTGGGGACTTTTGGGCACAGAGATGCCCCCGGGGACTCTCAGATGGAGAATGCCCCGGGAAGTCTTGGGGACGGAGCTGTCCCGGGGACTCTCGGGGACGGAGCCACCCCTGGGGACTCTCGGATCTGTCTCAGGGATTCTTGGGGACAGAGCCAGCCCTGGGGACTCTCGGATCTGTCTCAGGGATTCTTGGGGACAGAGCCAGCCCCGGGACCCCCGGCCACGCAGGGCTTGACTCGTCCTTGTTTCTCAAGGAGAAGTTGTGGGGTGACAGGAATGCAGCTCTTAAAGCAGCGGAATAATTCCTGAAACAGGGACAGGGAACGGCCTTTCCCGCTCCCCGGAGGCTCCTTCTGTCCCCAGCACTGGGACATCGCCGCAATGTCACATGGCTTGAGCCCCCCCGATGCCACCCACCCCAGGTTGTGCTGGATGGGATTTTCCAACAAAAACGGCGCCTGTTTGCATCTGCTGCCGGCAGGGATGTGCTGGAGGGTGGATCAGGAGCTGCCGGGATGCTCCTGCGGCTGGCCGGGCTCCCTGCCCGGAGGCGCCTCATCCCCATCCGCCCGGCTCTGCCTCCGGCCCCGCGGGCATTTCCCAGATCCGGATCCATTTGCATCACCCCGGAGTTTTCCATGGCTCCAAAGCGCCCTCTTTGCTTTCTAGCAACAACCATCCCCTTCTGCCTATGTGCTGCCTTTCATCTCCGGCTCCGCGAGGCAGTTAATTGCCGAAGGTCCCATTAGTAATTGAGATTTCCAGGAAAGGAAAATGACTCACGGAGGAGCCGTGCGGGGGTAAACAGGCCCTGCTGCTGCTTTCTCGGTGCTCCCACTCCGCCGAGGTGGAATTACAGCTCAATCGCTCTCCCTTTGTTTTCCTCGCCGCTGGAATGGTGGCGGTTAATGATTCACGAGGCTCTCTGGAGCTTTTCCCCGCACCCTTCCCGCTGGGAATGGGCAGGGAGAGGTCGTGGCTTCATCCCAGCGACTCCCGAGCATCCATCGCTCCTTTTTCCCGGCTCGCAGGGAGGGCAGAGGGGGCTGGGGGCTGCCTCCCCTTCCCTGGGCGAACCGCGGAGAGCCGCGCTCACCCCGCGCTCCTCTTGCAGGTGACGCCGTTCCCGGAGCCCTACAGGGACACCCTGCACCCCTACAAGATCAGCGAGCAGGACACCGATGTAAGAGCCAGTCCTGTCCCCTCTGTGTGTCCCCTGTCCCCGCAGCCGGTCACTTTGTGCCCCTCAGGGCTCAATCTTCCCTGAGTTTCAGTCTTGCCCCATCTCCCAGTTTGTCCTGTGTCACCTCAAAGTCCCTGCAATGACAGCAGGAGTTTGGAACCCCCCCAGGGCCATAAATCCCATAAATCCCGTAAATCCCATCCGTCCTGGCTGCATCCCAGTGGGATTCTCATCCTCCTCATCCTCTCCCCGCTTTCTCTTCCCCCTGGCACAGAAGCTGCTGGGGAAGCTCTGCGAGCAGAACAAGGTGCTGCGGGAGCAGGAGAGGCTGGTGCAGCAGCTCCGGGCTGAGAAGGTACCTGGTGGCACCTCAGGTGGCCACGTGGGGACCTGGTGGTGGCACCTGCGTGGTGAGGAAGTGACGTCACCATGGGAGGGTTTGGGTTGAACCTGGACATCCAGGTGTGTGTGTCCCCTGTCACCCTGAACCTGGACATCCAGGGGTGTGTGTCCCTGTCACCCTGAACCTGGACATCCACATGTGTGTGTCCCTGTCACCCTGAACCTGGACACCCAGGTGTGTGTGTCCCCTGCCATCCTTGACCTGGACATCCAGGTCAGAGTGTCCCCTGCCACCCCTGGAACCAGGTGAGAGTGTCCTCTGTCATCCTAAACCTGGACATACAGATGTGTGTGTCCCCTGTCACCTTTAACCTGGACATCCAGGTGTGTGTATCCCTGTCACCCTGAACCTGGACATCCAGGTGTGTGTGTCCCCATCCACACCTGAACTAGGTCAGAGTGTCCCCTGCCACCCCTGAACCAGGTGAGCAGGTCCCCTGTCACCCCTGGCTTGGAGGGACATTACAAACCTCTCGTTCCACCCCTGAGCCGCTACCCCAAGTTCTCTGACCTGGCTTTGGACCCTTCCAGGGATGTGGCAGCCACAGCTTGGGGACATTTCTGAGCTGGGGGTGACTCCTGCTGTGCTATTGAGCAGCCAGGACCTCGTGGCTCCGTCTGTCCCCACAGGAGAGCCTGGAGAGTGCCCTGATGGGGACACACCAGGAGCTGGAGATGTTCGGGAGCCAGCCCGCCTACCCCGAGAAGCTGCTGCACAAGAAGGAATCGCTGCAGAACCAGCTCATCAACATCCGGGTGGAGCTGTCCCAGGCCAGCACGGTAAGGGAGGGATTCGGGTCCCTTTTGTCCCTTCCTGGCTGGGAAACGAGCAGGGAATTCCCCTTGGCTGCCTGGGGACCGAAGTTCCTCACTGGGGACAAAGCGAATTAGGCACCCCCCGGCTGCCACCTCAGCTCCTGGTTCTGTCTCTGCCATGCCCCGGGCACCTCAGAGCTTGTCCGCTCTGCTGCCACCCCCTCCCCAGCTCGGGGGGCTGTGCTGGGTGCCAGAGACCCCCCTGATCCCCCCACTGTCCCCTCAGGCCCTGGCAAACAGCACGGCCGAGTACGAGAGCCTGGAGAGCGAGGTGTCCACCCTGCACGATGACCTCTGGGAGCAGCTCAACCTGGACATCCAGGTGAGTGTCCCCCTGTCACCTTTAACCTGGACATCCAGGTGAGTGTCCCCTGTCACCCTGAACCTGGACATCCAGGTGAGTGTCCCCTGTCACCCTGAACCTGGACATCTAGGTGAGAGGGTCACCTGTCACCTTTAACCTGGACATCCAGGTGTGTGTCCCCCTGTCACCTTTAACCTTTACACTCACGTCCCCTGCCACCCCTGGTGTCCCCAGGGAGATACCCTGAACCTGGACATCTAGGTGAGAGGGTCACCTGTCACCTTTAACCTGGACATCCAGGTGTGTGTGTGTGTCCTCTGTCACATTTAACCTGGACATCCAGGTGTGTGTGTGTGTCCTCTGTCACATTTAACCTGGACATCCAGGTGTGTGGGTGTGTCCTCTGTCACATTTAACCTGGACATCCAGGTGTGTGTGTCCCCTTGTCACCCTGAACCTGGACATCCAGGTGTGTGTCCCCCTGTCACCTTTAACCTTTACACTCACGTCCCCTGCCACCCCTGGTGTCCCCAGGGAGATGAGATCCCCCTGTCTCCCCACCTGTGGGCTCTCCATGCCCAGCCCTCACGTCCAGCTTTGCCCACCTGGGTGCCATCGAGGGGGGCAGCCCAGGGTCCCCACAGCCCCGGTGGCTTCTGGGGAGCAGATCCAGGGATTCCAGCCAGATAAAACAAACCCTGGATGTGGCCAGGGTCAGCTCCTGTGGCTGGGTTTGGGGCTGGGCCCTGCCTGGTTTGGGGTTGGCACCGATGCCCTCGGGACCTCTCTGAGTGTTGCCTGTCCCCCGTCCAGAACGAGATGCTGAACCGGCAGATCCAGAGGGAGATCTGGCGGATCCAGGACGTGATGGAGGGGCTGAGGAAGAACAACCCCTCCCGAGGCACCGACACGGCCAAGCACAGAGGTGAGGGGGGCTGTCCCTGCGGGGGGGGTGTCCCTGCTTGGCAGGGTGAAACCCCTCATTATTATCTTTAATTATCTTTAATTATCTTGTTCCTCCGCAGTGGCCCTGGGCCCCTCGGGCACGTACAGCTCCAACAGCCCTGCCAGCCCCCTGAGCTCTGCCAGCCTCACCAGCCCCCTGAGCCCCTTCTCCCTCATCTCTGGCTCCCAGGGATCGCCCACCAAGCCCGGCCCTGGCGAGGTCAGTGACCCTGGTGTCCCCTCTTTGTCACCAGAGGGGTGGCAGGCTGCTGGGCATGGGCATGGACCTGCCTGCCCTCGTGGCTCTGCCTGGGGGCACCGTTCTGGTGACACGGATGGCCCCTGGTGTCTCCTGGTGACTTCGGGGTGTGTGGTCCTTGCAGGGCTGTGTGTCTGGAGGGACAGGAGTTGCTCAGCTCCAGGAGCAGCTCCTGGTGCCACCAGAGCCACTCTGAGTGCCCTCACCCTGGGCTGGTGCCACCTTCACACACAGCACATTAATTTAGGACACAATTTGGGGACTCCCCACCCCTCCTGGCTGCACAGGGGCGACACCAGTGCCCCCAGAGCTGCCAAGAACCCTTCACTCGCACAGCCCCGAGCCCTGCCTGGCGCTGGGGACAAGCAGCAGGATGTGGCACCCCGAGAGCCACTCCCTCTCCTCCATCCCTTCCTCCAGGACGCTCCCGCCGTGTTTCTGTCTCTCTTTTTTCTAACTCTCTCTTCCTTCTCTGCTCTCACGCCTCCCGCTCCTGCCCGCCCCAGGAACCGGGCCCGCCTCGACCTCCCCTCCCCAAGTCCTACGTGCCCCTGGAGGCTCCTCCGGCCGTTCCTCCGCTCCCCAGCGAGAGCCGCCTCTGGCCCTACCCCGCCTCCCCTTCCTGGCACCAAGGAGAGGCCAAGCGGGGACAGGTACCGACCCCTGCCTCCCCTTCCTCCTCCTCCTCCTCCTCCTCGTGGCATGGAAGGCGCTGGGATGAGGCGGGAGCCGGAGCTGCCCGCCCCGGATCTGCAGCAACAGCGTGGAGGTGGCACCTGGCACGGGGACAGTGTGGAGGTGGCACATGGTGCAGGGACAGTGTGGAGGTGGCACTTGGTGCGGGGACAGCGTGGAGGTGGCACCTGGCGTGGGGACAGCTCTGCGTCCTGCCCTGCCACACCCCTGGTGTCCCCAGCAGGTCGCCACAGTCAGGACAGGGACTGTCCCCTCCTCCTCCTCCTCCTCGTCCTCCTCCTGGCGAGGTTGTCCCCGGTTGTCCCCTCTGCTTTGCTCTGCCTCTGTCGCTGTCCTTCTGTGTCTCCCTGTGGAGGGGCACCGTGCCAGCGCAGGTGGCACAGAGGTGGCTGTGTCATCCAGGGGTGTCAGGGTGAATTTAGGGGGACACACCGGGCTGCTGGCCTGTTGTCACACCCCTCTGTCACCCCAGCAGTTCTCGTGGGATGCAAGAGGGGGAGGACCCCAAAACTGTCCCTTTTCTGGCTCTGCTGCCCTGTGTGACCCCATGGGCACGGGGTGCATCGGGAGCCCAGCACAGAGCCAGGATGTCCCTATGTCCCTGTCCCCAGTTCCTGGAGGCTGTGGAGGGATTGTCACCCTGTCCCTCATTGTGGGGACAGCGGTGGGTGCCCAGCCCTGACAGGATGGGACAGAGCAGGGGCAGGAGCAGAACTCCCTCAGCCCCTCTCCCCACAATTTTGGGGGACTCTGGTCCCACCTGGCCACTGTCCGTGTGTCCATGGAGTGTGACCATGTCTGTCCCCCTCAGAGCAGCGGGTGTCCCCTGTCTGTGTGTCCCTGGTCTGTCACTCCAAGAGCAGCAGGTGTCCCCTGTCTGTGTGTCCCTGGTCTGTTTGTCACCCTAAGAGCAGAGCGTATCCCCTGTCTGTGTGTCCCTTGCCTGTCACCCCACGAGCAGTGGGTGTCCCTGTGTGTCCCTGATCTGTCCCCCACGAGCAGCAGGTGGTGTCCCTTGTCTGTCACCCCAAGAACAGCGGGTGTCCCCTGCGTGCCCCTTGCTTGTCACCCCACGAGCAGCAGGTGTCCTCTGGTCTGTGTGTCCTGATCTGTCACCCCAAGAGCAGCGGGTGTCCCCTGACACACAGGGGATCTGTCACTCCAAGAGCAGCGGGTGTCCCCTGTGTGTCCCCTGCCTGTCACCCCACGTGCAGCGGGTGTCCCCAGGCAGAGCGTGTCCCCAGGCCGGACCGGGGCTCACTGGGGACCTTTCCCCCTTGCACAGCCCAAACCAGGCTTGGAGCCGAGCAAGAAGGAGCCGCCCCGGCCCAGTCCCCCCGGCCCCGCGCCCGAGGGGCTCCCGCAGAGCCGGCCGGAGCACGACGGCGACAAACAAGCGGCTCTCAACAAAGGTACAGCACTGGGGACACTCGCCAGCACCCGGGGGTGGCACCGGGACCCTGCCCCGGGTCCCCGAGGGCTCATCCCGGTGTCGTGGTGTCCCCGCAGTGGGAATCGTCCCCCCCAGGACCAAATCTCCGGCGGAGGAGGAGGCGGTGCCCAGGAGGAACGGGCTGGCCAACGGGCTCGGCTCCCGGGTACGGCTGGGCTGGGGGGCTCGGCTGGGGGGGCTGGGTGAGCCCAGGGGGGCTCTGCTGCAGCCTGGGGACAGGAGCGTGGCTCCATGTGTCTCCATGCACCTCCTGGAGACCACCAGGGTGAATTCAGCACCTTCCCTGCTGCTGGGAGTGGCACCCCGGGAATGACATCCCGGGGAGTGACATTCCAGGAGTGACATCCAGGAGTGACATCCCCGGGAGTGACATCCAGGAGTGACAAACTGGGAGTTGTGGCCACAGCTCTCTTCACAGAGAGCAGCAGGCACAGGGAGTGACATCCCGGGAGTGACATCCTCAGAGTGGCATCCCGGGAGTCACAGACATCCCAGCGGCTCTCGGCAGAGGGGGGTGGCACTGGGAGGATGTCACCGGCCACCAGCGGGTGACCGTGAGGCTGGACTGGTCCCCAGGAGAGACCCAAGAGCGCCGTGTTCGCCACCGAGACCAAGGTGAAGATGAGCGTGGAGGAGCAGATCGACCGCATGAAGCGCCACCAGAGCGGCTCCATGAAGGAGAAGCGGCGCAGCCTGCAGCTCCCCGGCCCCCAGCCCGACCCCCCCGGCACCAAAACCCCCTCCTCCTACAAGGTGGTGAGTCCCTGAGCCCGGCGGGGACACCGCGGGGTGGCACAGGCGACAAAGCGCCACCCCGTGGGGGACGCTGAGCGGGACGCGGTCCCCCGCAGGTGCGGCGACACCGCAGCATCCACGAGGTGGACATCTCGGACCTGGAGGCCGCGCTGCGCTCCGACGAGCCCGGCAAGGTGTACGAGACGCCGCAGGAGGAGATCGCCCGGCTGCGCAAGATGGAGCTGGAGCCGCAGCACTACGACGTGGACATCAACAAGGAGGTGAGCACGCCGTGTCCCCGAGTGTCCCCAGGGTGGCAGCAGCTTGGAGCTGTATCCGGGCGGGGTTGGGGGTGAGCAGTGGGGGCTGGAGTCCCCAGTGTCCGGCACGGGCACCCCCTCAGCTCGTGCCACTGTCCCCAGCTGTCCACGCCGGACAAAGTCCTGATCCCCGAGCGCTACGTGGAGCTGGAGCCGGAATCGCCCCTCAGCCCCGAGGAGATGAAGGAGAAGCAGAAGAAGGTGGAAAGGATCAAGACTCTCATTGCCAAGTCCAGGTGAGGCTGCAGTGCCCACGCTGGCCGTGCCAGGGGTCATCCTGAGGGGCACTGACCACCCACCTGCAACCTGCACCCCTTCCCTGGGCACCCTGAGGGGCACTGACCACCCATCTCCATCCCTTCCCTGGCCATTCCAAGACCACCCACCCACCTGCCCCCCTTCCCCACCCATCCCAGGGGACCCTACCACCCCTCTCCCATCCCATCCCGGGGGTCCTGGCGGGGGTGCTGACCCCAGGTGCCGTTCCCAGCCTGCAGAACGTCATCCCCCTGGGCGAGGGGGAGGTGGACACCCCCCAGGACCCTGAGGTGCAGCTGCAGGAGCAGGAGAAGAGGATCGAGATCTCCTGTGCCCTGGCTGCCGAGGCCTCGCGGCGTGGCCGGATGCTCTCGGGTGAGGAACGGGGGCTTGGAGGGTCAGACCCTGCAGATCCCTGGCACAGCGAGGTGCCAGGAGGGCAGGGGGGTGAGGGCAGGTGTGGATTTGGCAGCAGAGTGGGCAGAAGAGGTGTCAGCCTTGGGACAGGGGGACAGGGGATGCCAACAGCTCCTGGGGCTGCCCGCCCCGAGATCCTGGGGTGGAGCAGCTGTTCCAGCCGGGCACAGCTTCAGCACGAGGGTGGGAGTGCCTGCCTGGGTGGCATGAAGTGGCATGAGGTGGCATGAGATGGCTGAGAAAGCACGGTGGCACTCCATGCAGGGAGGTTGTGGTGTCACCCCAAGCCCAGGGAATTGTGGTGTCACCCCGTGCCAGAGGGATTGAGGTGGCACGTGCTGGCACCTTGTGGCTGTGCATGGTGGCGCTTCATGCTGGGGGAGGATTGTGGTGGCACGCTGTGCCCAGGTGAGCATGGTGACATCCTGTACGTGGCTGACCACGGTGCCACACCGTGCCTGGGTGCCCACGGTGCCACACCGTGCCTGGGTGCTCACAATGTCACACCATGCCTTGTCCATGAGGAGCCCTGCCGGGAGCTCACGTGTGCGTGCTGTGCCCAGCTGTCACTCTCTGTCCTTCCTGCCAGCTGCGGCTGTTTGTCCTGCCAGCTGTGACTCTGTCCTGCCCAGCTGCGGCTGTTTGTCCTGCCAGCCATGGCTCTCTGCTCTGCCATCTGTGGCTCTGCCCTGCCAGCTGTGATTCTGCCCAACCCGCGCTTGCTTCCCCCTTTTCATTTCTCTTTCCTCCCCGCTGTCCCCTCTGCTCTGTCCCCTCTGCGCTGTCCCCTCCCTGTCCCTCGTGCTCAGCCCCTGTCCCGTTTCTCGTTTCCAGCTCAGTGCGCTACCCCCAGCCCTCCCACCTCCCCAGCCTCCCCGACTCCACCGACCAACCCCCTCTCGTCCGAGCCGCCCCGGGCCGACAGCAGCCACCTCATGCGGGTGTGAGCCTGTGACGTAAGCACCTCTTCTCTCTGACGTCATCCCCTCCATCCCCTCGCTGCCACGTCAGCCCCGGCTCCTCCATGGACCGAGTGTCCCCCCAAAGCCGAGCCCCCAAGGCCGAGGGGCGGTGCAGGGGGGAAAAGGGGGGGCCCAGCATGAAAACCGGGGGATCCCAACCTCCCCCGGCTCCTCGGAGCCAAATCCCGGCCGCGTTTCCCACAGGGGGGTGGGCGCGGGGTGGAGCCCCCCGGCTCAGCCCCTCTGTCCTGTCCCACCCCCCCAGCTCAAGCCCTGGCTGCTGCCGGCGCCATCAAGTTCCACGGGGCCACGTTTTAGTCCCCTCCTGAGGTGACACCGAACCTCTCGCCACCGTCCTCGGTTCTCCCGGACTCCCTTCCCTCCCTCCGGCGGCGACACCAGCGGGAGAGGCGGCACCGACGGGAGCCCTGTCCCAAAGAGGCGGGCGGGGGCTGGGATTGTCCCCAAGGAGTCCCCAGGGCTGTCTGCGGCCACCGGGACAGCCCCGGACAGCCGTGACAGCGGCCACCAGGACACACCTGGACAGTTGTGACAGTGGCCACCGGGACAGCCGTGACAGTGGCCACTGGGGCACACCCGGACAGCCATGATAGTGGCCACCAGGACACAGCTGTGACAGCGGCCACACTCAGACAGCTGTGACAGCAGCCACCAGGACAGCCATGATAGTGGCCACCAGGACATAGCTGTGACAGCGGCCACCAGGGCACACTCAGCTGTGACAGTGGCTACCAGGGCACACCCGGACAGCTGTGACAGCAGCCACCAGGACAGCCATGATAGTGGCCACCAGGACACAGCTGTGACAGCGGCCACACTCAAGACAGCTGTGACAGCGGGCCACCAGGACAGCTGTGACAGTGGCCACCGGCCCAGTGGCGAGCACAGCACTCCTGGGATGGCCCCCAAGGTCTGTGAAGGGGCTCTTGGGGTGGGGACCTGCCTGTCCCCACCACGGATGGTGCTGCCACCTCCCAGCGGACGCGGATCCTCCCCCTCGGCTCCTCGGGCGCCGTTTCCCCTCCCTGAGCTCTGACCCTGATTTTGGAACACGTCTGTGTCACCACCGGTGGCCCAGCCGGAGGAAGAGGGGACAGGACGGACGGAGGTGGCACTGGGGGCACACGGAGGTGCCCAGGGCGCTCCAGGGCTCTCCAAGCACGGAGCTCTGGGCAGGGATAGGGCAGAGCAGGGAACTGGGATGCCAGGTGGGAAAACGCAGCTGTGGGGTGGGCAGGGACCCCCTCTGGAGGGTGGGGATGGTGCTGAGGAGGGGTTTGGGGACAGAGGTGTCACCTGGGGACCTGCTGTTGCCCTCCAAAAAATCCCTTCCCGCTGCTCTCCAGCCCCTTCCAGCGGTTCGGATTTCCTGTAGCAAATTCCCCCTTTTCTTTATCATCCCGGAGGATGGGAAAAAAAAGCAGAATCCTTGGAAGGATGCGAGCGTGGCAGGGGCCAGGAGCTGGATCCCAAATCCCAAATCTCCAACCCCAAATGCCATCCATCCCTCCTGGCCCCTTCCCAAACCCCCAGGATCTCCCTGCATCCCAATCCCAACTTAGCAATACTTGTAGGATCCCTGGAGCCCTGAACCCCGCTGCCCTCTGAGCCTCCCTCAGCCCCTTTAGCTCATAAAGCTGGCCCTTTATTTTGCTATTTACATGCCTTAATATATGTTTGATGGAAATTCTACATTTATAATATATATCTATATTTGGTTTTCCTCTTCTCTTCCCGGGAAAAAAGCTCGTGCCGAGCTCTCTCTTCTCCGCAGGATTTGTTGGTGCCAGCCCCGCCAACAAAAAAAAAAATTAAGATTCTTTGGCAATTTATCAGAGGGGGAAGGAAATTAAAAAAAAAAAAAAAAAAAAAAAAAAAAAAAAAAATATATATCTATTTTTTCTGCTTTTATTAAAAGCAAATTTATTTAAAATAAAATATACAGAGACTGTAAGTTTGAAGAGAGGATGAGTTTATTTCCCTGTGTCCCCTCTCGGGTCACTGGGGCAGACCCCCCCTTACTTTGGGGACACCTTGGGGACATCCTGGGGTGGCTGTGGGGCAGCAATTCCCATCTCAGGGAGCCATCCTGCCCTTCCCAAAGCCACCAGCTGCTGTCCCCAAGGTGTGACCCGGCCGCGGTTTTATTTTATTTTAAAAAAACCCCAATAATAAAAAAAAAGGAAACCAAACCTTAATCAATTAATTTTATTTTGGTTATTATTTTTCATAAACACTTCATAAAGCAGTGACTTGTTAACCCGGAAAGGATTTGCATCGGGAGGAAGTAAATAAATAAATCTATTTATGCATTTGGAGAGGGTGGGACGGGAGGGCTTTGGTTTTCTGGGATATTTTCCTAGCGGTAGAGAAATAAAAATATCTATGAAACAACAATATTTTCCTGTCTTTTTTTGACAGGGGTGGGCTTGGATGTGGATTTTAATCTGGGTTGGGGAAGCAGGGGGTGATGGGGCTCCAGGGGCCGCTGCTCCTCCCTCTCCCTGATTTTTTGGGATTTATGTTCTCGCTAGGGTTAGGTTTGGTTCTTGTGGAGGGATGGAATTCCCGTCCCTGGGCAGTTTTTGGGATAAATGTTGGGAGTAGCTGGGTTTGGGTGGCTCTGGGTGACAGAGGTGACACAGGGGCCCTGTGCTGGGTCTGCAGGAGGCGATATTCCCGCACCAACCAGCAAATCCCGGGAGGTGGGAGATTCCCAAAACTCTCCTTTCTCACCGAGCAGCCTGGGTTCCACGGGATCCATGAGATCCATGGGAATCCAAACGAGCTGCGACTCCTGGAGACACTGCAGGGACCTCTGCTGTCCCCTCGGTGCCACTCAGCCACCACAAGGAAGCCACAGTCTCCCTGGTTTTCCTATTTTAGGGATCCATCCCATCCCATCCCAGGGAACCCATTCCAGTGGGACAGGGAGGACGGGACCAGCAAGGTCTGGTGGCCACAAGCCACTGTGTCTGCCTTGGAGCCACCATGTCCCTGCGGGGCCACTGTGTCCCCCGGGGCCACCCTGTCCTCTCTGAAGCCACCATGTCCACCTGGAGCCACCACATCTTCCCTGGGACCACCAAGTCCCTCAGGAGCCACCATGTCCCTTTGGAGTCACTGTGTCCCTCAGGAGCTGCTATGTCTGTCTGGGGCTACCACATCCCCCCTGGAGCCACCGTGTCCCTTCTGGATGCCACCAAGTACCCCTGGAGCACTATGTCTGTCTGGGGCCACCACATCCCCCTTGGAACCACCGTGTCCCTTCTGGATGCCACCAAGTACCCCTGGAGCCGCAATGTCCCCCTGGAGCCACCATGACCCTTCTGGAGTCCCCGTGCCCCTTCTGGAGCCACCTTGTCCCTCAGGAGCCACCATGTCCCCCTGGGGACACCACATCTTCCTTGAGGCCATCATGTCCCTTCTGGAGCCACCGTGTCCCCCTGGAGCCACTGTGTTCTCTCTAGATCCACTGTGTCCCCCCTGGAGCCACCGTGTTCCCCTGGAATTACCATGACCCCTGGAGCCACCGTGTCCCTTCTGGAGCCACCATGTCCCCGTAGGAGCCACTGTGTCCCTTCTGGAGCCACCACATCCCCCCTGGAGCCACCGTGTCCTCCCTGGAGCCACCATGTCCCTCTGGGGACACTACATCTTCCTTGGAGCCACCATGTCTCCCCGGAGTGACCATGACCCCTGAAGCCACCGTGTCCCTTCTGGAGCCCCCATGTCCCCCTGGAGCCACCATGTCCCTTCTGGAGCCACCATGTCCCTCTAGGAAATACCGTGTCACTCAGGAGCCTCTTGCCCCTTCTGGAGGCACCATGTCCCTTCTGGAGCCACCGTGTCCCTTCTGGAGCCCCCATGTCCCTTCTGGAGCCACCGTGTCCCTTCTGGAGCCCCCATGTCCCTTCTGGAGCCCCCATGTCCCTTCTGGAGCCACCGTGTCCCTTCTGGAGCCCTGTGTCCCATCTGGAGCCACTGTGTCCTGCGGCGGTGGCACCGTGGGCGTTCCCGGGCCGTTAATGATTCCCAGGATGACGTGGGGACTAAAGGGCTTTTCCAAGGGTCACTCTGCGAGTGGGGCCACCCTCGCCCGGCCTCGCCCAGCCCCGCCACCACCAAGATGGTGTCCCTGAGCGACTTCCAGCGTAAGCAGGCGCGGGGTGGTCGTGTCCCGGCGGGAATTCCCGTCCCGGCTGGAATTCGGGATCCGGGAGCTCCGTGGGGACCTTTGGCAGATCCCAGTCCCGGCCGGGATCCCCCTGGATGGGGTGGTTGGGACAGGGAGGGGTGAGGTGGAAAAGGGGATGGGCTGGGGGTGGGGAGATTCTCCAGGATCATCCAGGGATCGTCTCCAGCTTTTCCTGGAGGGAAAGGGGAAAGGGAAAGGCTCGGGGAAAGGCTGGGCACGGATTTCCCGGGGAGTTTTCCTTTGTGGTTCCTGATTTATCCGGTGCCCTCGGGGGTTTCTGGGGCACCAACAGCCTCCTCCAGGCCTGGCCTGGGCATAAAGGCTGGTCCTGAGGTTTGGGAAAAGCCCAAAGGGTATTTTTGGGAAGGAGTGGGACAGGGAGATGCTGGGACCCCAGGTGTGGAGCCTTTGCCTCTGCCTGCCCGTTTTCCACAGGGATCGGAGTGGGCCTGGTTGGCTTCGGCCTCTTCTTCCTCCTCTTTGGGATCCTCCTGTACTTCGACTCGGTGCTCCTGGCTTTTGGGAATGTGAGTAGGGCCGGCCTGGGGGTCCCCACAGTGGGATCAAGGAGCAGCCCTGACCCTCTCCCCTCCCTCCTCCCAGCTCCTCTTCCTCTCCGGCTTGGTCTTCATCATCGGCTTCCGGAGGACCTTCACCTTCTTCTTCCAGCGGCCCAAGCTGAAGGGCACCAGCTTCTTCTTCGGGGGGCTCATCGTGGTCCTCATGCGGTGGCCGATCCTGGGCATGCTGCTGGAGGCCTACGGCTTCATCTCCCTCTTCAGGTGCCGGATGGGATCCCTGGGATGGGATCCTCAGGATGGGATCCTAGGGATGGGATCCTCAGGATGGGATCCTAGGGATGGGATCCTCAGGATGGGATTCTGGGGAGGAGATCCTCGGGATGGGATCCTGGGGATGGGATCCTCAGGATGGTATCCTCAGGATGGGATTCTCGGGAGGGGATCCTGGGGATGGCATCCTTGGGATGGGATCCTGGGGATGGGAGATTCTGGGGAGGAGATCCTCGGGGATGGGATTCTGGGGAGGAGATCCTCGGGATGGGATCCTGGGGATGGGATCCTCAGGATGGTATCCTCAGGATGGGATTCTCGGGAGGGGATCCTGGGGATGGCATCCTTGGGATGGGATCCTGGGGATGGGATCCTCAGGATGGGATTCTGGGGAGGGGATCCTGGGGATGGGATCCTCATGATGGGATCCTCAGGATGGCATCCTCAGAATGGGGTCCTCATGATGGGATCCTCAGGATGAGATCCTTGAGACAGGATCCTTGGTATGGGATCTTCATGATAGGATCCTCAGGATGGGCTCCTTGGGATGAGATCCTTGGGATGGAGCCTGTCCTCAGGATGGGATCCTGGGGATGGGATCCTGGGCATGGGATCCTCGGGATGGAGCCTGGGCTCAGGGGATGCTCCCCAGTGCTCACCGGGGCCTTTTGTCCACACAGGAGCTTCTTCCCGGTGGCGTTTGGGTTTTTGGGCTCGCTGGCAAACATCCCCCTGCTGAGCCAGGTGAGAGGGGGCTGGGGACCCTTGGGGTGGGCAGTCCCCGGGTGGGATCCACCCCCACGGATGGGATTGCACAGGAAACGTCACCGTGGTGTCCCCAGGGCTGGCCAGGTGGATGTTCCCGCTAATCCTGGTCTGTCCCTGTCACAGCTCCTGCAGAAAATGGGGGACAGCGGCTCCATGGTGTGACCTGACCAGTTCTGGGCCGAGCGGCTGTGATGGGACAGGGTGAGAGAGCCCCAGGTCTGGCTGTCCCCAAGAGTGACTCTTTTGTCCCCAGGACCCTCAGTGCTGGCCAGAGCCACCCCCCAGCAGGGACGGTGTCCCCTCACTGTCCCACAGAGCTCCTGAGCCAGGCTCCGGGGTCCAAGGGCTGTACCAGGCTGGATTCTGGAATTCTCGCTGTTATTTAATTCTTTTCTGTGAAAGATTTAATTTAATAAAAAAAATGTTTGAGAGTGAGCTCAGACTCGGCTCCTTTCCCATGGCTCAGGGCTTGTCCCAGCGCTGGCACCTCCCGATGTCACCAGGAGGCATTGTGGCCATGGCTGGAGGTGGCACAGGGACATTCCCATGGCTGAAGGTGGCACAAGGACATTCCAGAGGCTGGAGATGACACAGGGACATTTCCATGGCTCTTCCTGGAGGTGGCACAGGGACCTCCCCATGGCTGGAAGTGGCACAGGAACCTTCTCCTGGCCATGGCTGGAGAGGGCACAGGGACATTCCCATGGCTGGAGATGGCATGGGGACATTCCCATGGCTGGCACAGGGACATTCCCATGGCTGGAGATGGCATGGGGACATTCCCATGGCCAGCACTGGGGGTGGCACAGGGCCCTTCCCGTGGCAGGAGCTCCCCCAGGGTCGCCCCAGGTGACTTTAAGGAGATTTTCGGCCCGGCTGCCAAGGTTCCTGTCCCCAGGAGAGCAGGTTGGATCCTCGGCATCTCCAGGGCTGAGGTGGAGCCCAGCCAGGCTCTGGGGAAACTGGAGTTTAATTAAACCCAAAAGCAATCTCATCAAAGAGAGGAATTCCTCCTTAACGAGCAGGAATTAATTAACGAGTTTGAGCTGAACCTGTTCCCTCTGGAGCGTGATGGGAGATGGTGGCTCTGTGTCTGTTGTCACCTGTTGCCACCTGTTGTCACCCAGCAATGCCTGTTGTCACCCGGCTGTGCCCGTTGTCACCTGGCTGTGCCCATTGTCACCTGGCTGTGCCTGGATGGCATTGAGGGATCCAGGAATTATGGAATGATTTGGGTTTTTAGGGATCTTAACACCTATCTCATCCCACTACCTGCCACGGGACACCTTCCCTTACCCCAGGTCACTCCAAACCCCACCCAGACACTTCCTCCATTCCATCTCTCCCCATCTCCTCCAGGATCCTCTATTCCCTCCCACCCCATCTCCTCCAGGATCCTCCATTCTTCCCCATCTCATCCAGGATCCCCCATCTCCCTCCCTCCCCATCTCCTCCAGGATCCTCCACTATTTTCCTTCCTCTCATTCCATCCCATCCCATCCCATCCCATCCCATCCCATCCCCATCTCTCCAACCCACAAACCCATCCCTGCCGTGCCTGTGACCCCCAAACCCAACCTCCCAGAGACGTTCCCATCTCCCGCAGCTTTTCCAGGCTGGGAAGATCCTCAGGGCAGGGCTGGGAGCTCCCTCAGCCAGAGCTCCTCTCGGGAAGGATTTTCCCGGGAATGTTTTTCCCCCCAGCTCTGTAAATCCTCTCTCTGGCAGGGTTTTGGTTTCAAGCACCAGCTCTGGGTTTGCCCTGACGTCAATCCCCAAATTCCCCTGGTGCCATCCAGAGCCTCCTCTAAGCCCTTCCCAAAAATTGTTTTTACCCCGGAGCTTTTCGGAATGAGGATCCTCATGAGCCTCGTGTACTTTCACCAGTAGCAAAATCCTGGATTAGAAAAGTGTGGAAAATGCCAGGGAAGAGCAGAAATTCACCTCTTTTTCAGTGCTGCTCCAAAAAAATCCCCCAGGAAATCAAAGCTGTTCGGCCAAACTTCCAAATGATTTTGTTTGGAGCAGGAAGAGCTAAAAAATTTGGATTTTATTTTAAGGAAAGCACCCACACAGCCTGGCAGGAGAAAGGAAGGAATTTATCCATGGGGAAGGTGATTTTTCCTCTCTGGGAAATGTTTTCCTTCCATTCTCCCTGAAAAACAGGCAGGAAAATAACAGGAAAATTCCCTGCTATTTCCAGAGGAGCTGCTCCTGATGTGATCTGTAATTGGGTAAAACCCCAGGATTTTGGAGCAAGGTTCCCCACATGGATCCAGTGAGGGATTCCTGCCTTTCCCTGGAACCTCCTGTGCTTGAAATTCCACTTAAGGGATGTTTTGGGGCCGCATGGGAAGAGTTCAGGATCTTCCCTGCGGATCTGAAGGGCTGGGAATGAATCCAGTGCCAACCCAGAGCTGCCTGATGTCCCTGTCCCCTTCCCTCCCATGTCCTTGTCCCTCTGAGCCCCCCCAAAACCACTTTTCCAGTTTTTTTTTTTTTTTTTTTTTGAGCTTTTTCCATCACAGCAGAGGGAACTGGGAAATTCCTTGGGGGTGTTTTCCCAGCACTGGGAAAGTGTCCCATGCTGGGCACATCCCAGAGCCCTGGGGCTGGACATCCACCCCAGTGGCCACCCCAGAGCAGCAGCCCTTGGCTCTCTGATGGATTTGGGGAAGTCTCTTTTCCGTTTTCCTTCCATTTCCCATCCAAGGGGGTTTTGGGGCCACCCCAGTGGCAGGGAAGGGTCGTGCCCCTCTGTTCCCCCATCCCACTGCCCTTCCCAGCTCATCCCACCCTGGATCCCCCACAGGAGAGGGCTCCAGCTGCGCCTGCCGGGACAAAGCCATGTCCAGAACACCCCAAATCCTCAGGAATCCTACAGACGTGGCTGCCCTGGATCAGAAGGGGCTGGAAATTCAGATCCCCACGAATGAGAACCCCTTTTTCTTTGAAGTCCTGCTGCACCCGCAGCTTTTCCTGTGGGGAACGGAGCTTGGCAGAGCCCGCGGGATGCCCGGGCAGGGATTTACGGCCGCGGGCTCCCTGCCAGGCGCTCTCACGTCGCTGCAGCTCCTGACCCCGCTCCCTGCCCGCAACCTGCGCCGGCCACGAGGCTCCCCGGAGTGACGCAGGGACACGGGTCCTGCGTGGGAAAAGACGTCAGGGATGGGGCAGAGCCCCGTGGGGCTGAGCCCTGGGGCCTGCCGGGGTCAGCAGTGCCCTGGCAGCCAAAATCCCGCAGGGAATGAGGCGGTGAAACTCCGGTTTTGGGGGAGAGTTGTTTGGAGTTTGTGGGGTGGAATGGGGTGAGAGCAGCGCCCTGAGCAAATCCCATAAATGGGAGGGGGACTGTGGGGTTGAGGTGGGGGGATGTGTCCTCGGGGCTCATCCATGAACAAATCCTATAAACGGGAGGGGTATTGTGAGGCTGGGGTGGGGGGATGTGTCCTCGGGGTTCATCCAAGTACAAATCCCATAAAGAGGAGGGGGATTGTGGGGCTGGGGTGGGGGGTTGTGTCCTCAGGGTTCATCCATGAGCAAATCCCATAAACGGGAAGGGAATTGTGGTGTTGGGGTGGGAGGGGATGTGTCCTCAGGGTTCATCCAAGAACATTTTTATTGCCTTTGGAGTAATTTCCCACCGAGATTCCCGAGGTCAGTAGACCCTGGGAGCCACGGGGCTGATGCAGCACGCCCCACCCTGGGCTGGGCACTGCCAGGGGGGCACAGCAGCCTGGAGGGGGGCCAGGGGTGCAGCTGGAAGCTCCCGAGGGTTTTGAGCTCCATCTCCCATCCCAAACACCAGGATCTGACCCCACATGGAGCAGCTGGGATGAGTTTGGGCGTTCCCTGCTCCGAGCTCCAGGCCTGGTTTAACAGAGCTGGGGCTGGGGGGTCACCCAGAGCATCCCCCAAAGGGCAGAGGGGGCTGGGGGGTCCTCACTCGGTGTCTCCATGGCCAACAGGGCTGAGTGCCCTTTGCCATTCCCATTCCCTTGGGGAAAATCCCATCTGCAGCTGCAGTTTGGGGACATCTTGGCTGGGATGTCACCCAGACCTGTGCCACCACCCAGCAGCTCTCCCAGGTGGCACCAGCAGGGATTTGCTGTGGGGATTCAGTGGAGGAATTTGGGAGCAATTAACCCCAAGGAATGTGGGATCCATCTCCCAGATATCCACAGCTCCCCTTGGCACATTCCTATGGGGCACGGGGGGCATCCTGGCCCTGCCACCCCCCTTGGGGACTATCCCAGCCACCTGCCTGATGTTCTCCATGCCATTCCCACCCTGCTGAGCATTAGCCAGTCTGATGGCACTATCCATGGCATTCCCAGCCTGCCCAGTGCCATCCATACCATTCTCAGTTTGCCCAGTTCCATCCACGCCATTCCCAGTGCCATCCATGCCATTCCCACCCTGCCCAGTTTGATCCATGGCATTTCCAGTCCTGCTCAGTGCCATCCATGCCATTCCCAGTCTGCCCAGTCCTATCCATGGCATTGCCGTTGCCCTCCATGCCATTCCCACCCTGTCCAGTTTGATCCATGCCATTCCCAGCCTGCCCAGTGCCCTCCATGCCATTCCCGCCTGCCCAGTTTGATCCATGCCATTCCCAGCTCTCCCAGTGCCCTCCATGCCATTCCCAGCCTGCCCAGTGCCCTCCATGCCATTCCCAGCCCTGCCCCTACCAGGGGAGGAGAATCCCGCAGGGATGGAGGATCCCGGGCTATAAAAGCTTCCTCCCCTCCGGGAGGGGACGGGACGGAGCCTCCGGCCGGGAGGGGACAGCGGGGACACGATGGCGGTGGCACCCAGCAGGAGGCTGCAGCGCTGCCTGCTGCTCCTGGCTGTCACCTGGGGCGCCACTTTTGTCCCCTCGCCAGCCCAGGCTTTGCAGAGGTAGCCGGAGCTCGTGTGGCCCTCATGGGGCTGTTCCCCCTTTCATTCCCGGGGTCTGGCGAGGAGGGTGAGGGGCTTTGCTGCTTCACCCCCTTCCTCCTCCTTCTCTCTGCTCTTCCTCACTCCTCTTCCTCGAGCACCGCCTGCTCACGGTGGGACTCCACGAGCGCGGGGGTCTTTCCTAACTTAAACCATTTGGGAGCACCCCGAATCCCAAATAACCGAGTTTGGGGCCGGCCTCGGGGTCTGCGGCTGTCCCCAACCCAGCTGGGGGTCCCCACCCTGCGCTGGGAGCGGGACCCACCGGGGGAGCGGCGTGGAGCTGCTGCCATCTAGAGCCACCGGGCTGGAGCTCCCGAGGCCGGGAATGCCGCTGGAAGCTGCCGGGGGGCTGGGGGGGATCCCCCGGTGCCCCCCAGCTCTGCCCTGCCCTCCAGGATCGCCCTGCGGAGGATGCCCTCCATCCGCCAGACGCTGCAGGAGATGGGGGTGAAGGTGCGGGAGGTGTTCCCGGAGCTGCGCCGGGCCACCCGCGGAGGAGGGGACGGTCCCCGCAACGGGACAGCCCCCACCCTGCTCACCAACTACCTGGATGTGAGTGTGGCCCTGCCCGGGGGTGGGGGGGTTTGTCACCGCGATGTCCCGCAGCTGGGCTCGGTGTGAGCTCAGGGGGGCTCCCCGTGCCCCCCCCAGACCCAATATTTCGGCGAGATCAGCATCGGGACCCCCGCACAGACCTTCAAGGTGGTCTTTGACACGGGCTCGGCCAACCTGTGGGTGCCATCCTACAAGTGCTCCCCACTCTACAGCGCCTGTGGTGAGTTGGGGGGGCACGGCCGGGGCTGGGGGTGACCCCCCAAAACCTCAGCGACCCCCAGGGCTGCTCAGAGGGGGCTGGGGGTGGTCTCGTTTTTGATGATTTTTTCATGGGGAGGTCTCTCTGTTGGTATCCAGACCTCTGGCATTGAGGTGGGGTGGGTCCATTACCTGCCCCTCAGGGGTTTTGGGGGGACAGAGATGCTCTGTGTCCCTTTGGGATGTCCTTCTCCCTGTCCCCAGTGTCCCACAGCCGCTACGACTCCTCCAAGTCGCGCACGTACATCGCCAACGGCACCGGCTTCGCCATCCGCTACGGCACCGGCAGCGTCAAAGGCATCCTCAGCCAGGACATCGTCATGGTGAGCACTGGAAGCCACAGAGCCCCCAAATCCACACCTGGGATCCACAGAGCCCCCAAATTCCACACATCTGGGATCCACAGAATCTCCAACTTCCACACACCTAAAACCCACAAAATCCTCAAATTCCACACACCTGGAACACACAGAACCCCAAATTCCACACCCCTAAAACCCACAGAATCCCCAAATTCCACACACCTGGAACCCACCAAATCCCCAAAATTCACACACTGGAACCCACAGAATGCCCAAAATCAACACACCTGGAACCTACAGAATCCCCAAAACCCACGGAACCCCCAAATTCCACACACTGGAACCCACAGAACCCCCAAATTCCACACGGATCCTGGAGGAGATGGGGTGAAATGGGATGGAGAATCCTGGAGAAGCTGGACTGGGAGAGTGGGAAGAAGATGGAGGATCCTGGAGAAACTGGGATGGGAAGGAATGGAGGATCCTGGAGAAGCTGGGATGGGAAGGAATGGAGAATCCTGGAGAAGCTGGGATGGGAAGGAATGGAGGATCCTGGAGGAGATGGGGATGGGAAGGAATGGAGGATCCTGAAGGAGATGGGATGGGAAGGAATGGAGAATCCTGGAGAAGCTGGGATGGGAAGAAATGGAGGATCCTGGAGGAGATGGGATGGGAAGGAATGGAGGATCCTGGAGGAGATGGGAGGGATGGAATGGAGGATCCTGGAGGAGATGGGCAGATATGAAATGGAAGATCCCCCAGGTCTCTGGGGTCTCCGGGTGCCACCTGTGTCCCCTGGGCCCCTGGGTGTCTCACGGATCATCCCTCTCCTTGCAGCGCTTCCAAGTAAGAAGACCCAAAGCATGAGCGCCCTTGAGGCCACCCGCTGCCAGCCCCCCATGTCCCCAGTGTCCCTGGTCCCTCTGCCAGCCCCAGGATGTCCTGCCCGGGTTCTGTCCCCCCTCAGGGGCCACCACAGCCACCTGCAGCATGTGTCACCTTGCTGTCCCTGCTGCTGACAGGGCCAGCAGAGCCTCAAGGCTGTGGGAATTTTGGGAAAAGGGGAATCGATCCCTGCCTGGCTGGGATTTTTGGGAAGAGGGGAATTGCTCCCTGCCTGGCTGGGATTTTTGGGAAAAGGGGAATCATTATCTCCAGGCTGGGATTTTTGGGAAAAGGGGAATCACTCTCTCTGGGCTGGGATTTTTGGGGAAAGGGGAATCACTCTCTCAGGGCTGGGATTTTTGGGAAAAAGGGGAATTGTTCCCGCAGGGCTGGGATTTTTGGGAAAGAGGAATTGCTCCTTGCTGGGATGAGATTTTTGGGAAAAGGGAATCACTCTCTCTGGGTTGGGATTTTTGGGAAAAGGGGAATCACTCTCTCTGGGCTGGGATTTTTGGGGAAAGGGAAATCGATCCCTGGCTGGGTGGGATTTTTGGGAAAGGGGGAATTCATCCCTGCCTGGCTGGGATTTTTGGGAAAGGGGGAATTCATCCCTGCCTGGCTGGGATTTTTGGGGAAAGGGGAAATGCTCCTGTCGGGCTGGGAATTTTGGGAAAAGGGGAATCGCTCCCTCAGGGCCGGGATTTTTGGGAAAAGGGGAATCCTTCCCGCTGTGTTTGGCACAGGAATTCTCCCCCGAAGGCCGGCGGGGAAATCATCCTGGGCGGCAGCGACCCAGCCCATTACACCGGCGACTTCCACTACCTGAACGTGAGCAGGAGCGGCTTCTGGCAGATCCGCATGAAGGGGTGAGCGCGGGGCCAGCCCCGCACGGCCCGGGAACCCCAAATCCCGGGATGATTATGTGGGAAAAGCCCTTGGGATCATCGAATCCAGTATTAGCCCAGCGCCGGCAGGGCCGGAGCTGCATCCAGCGGCTCTGTGAGGGTGGGATTTCCGGGAGTTCGGGAATTTCAGGGATTTCAGGGGTCTTTTCCCCGTCTGGAGAGGAGCGGGGTGGGCTCCTCCAGCTCCTGCAGGCTCAGCAAGGAGCCAGGAGCAGCTGGGAATGCAGAGGGGGTGGCACCGTGGGCTGAGATTCCACTCGGGAGCTGCAGTTGGAAGAGTTTAACCCCCGTCAGTCCTGCGGGAGGAGCTGAAACAATCCCGCTTTGTTTCGCCAAAAAAAAAAACCAAAAACAAACCACCCAAAAAAATCAGCCTGCAAATGATGGAGCTCAGATCCCACACTGGAAAAGCTGGGAGCAGCACGTGCCTGGCTGGGGAGGGATGTGACATTCCTGGAGTCACCAGGGGACACTCAGGATGGGTGTGACACTCCCAGGGTGTCACCATGGGAGATATGGGATGGACATGTCACTCCTGGGAGCACCCTTGGTGTCACCAGGGGACATTTGGGATGGATGTGACATTCCTGGTACCACCAGGGAACACTTAGGATGGAAGTGACACTCCTGGGAGCACCCTTGGTGACACCAGGGGACACTCAGGATGGACTTTTCCCTCCCAGGAGCACCTTTGGTGTCACCACAGGAGATTTGGGATGGATGTGGCATTCCTGGTGTCACCAGGGAACACTCAGGATGGATGTGACACTCCCAGGGTGTCACCAGAGGACATTTGGGTGGGATGTGACACTCCCGGGAGCACCCTTGGTGTCACTAGGGGACAGTCAGGATGGACATTTCCCTCCCAGGAGCACCCTTGGTGTCACCAGGGGAGATTTGGGTTGGATATGTCACTCCCAGGAGCACCAGGGACATTTGGATTGGATGTGTCACTCCCAGGAGCACTCTTGGTGTCACCAGGGACATTTGGGTTGGATGAGTCACTCCCAGGGTGACACCAGGGGACATTTGTGCCGGAAGTGACATTCCCAGGAGCACCCTGGGTGTCACCAGGGGACACTCAGGGCCACCCCTCCCGCTCCAGGGTGTCCGTAGGGGCCGAGACCCTGTTCTGCAGGGAAGGCTGCTCGGTTGCCGTGGACACGGGCGCCTCCTACATCACCGGCCCCGCCGGCCCCGTGTCCGTGCTCATGAAAGCCATCGGGGCCACCGAGGCGGCCGAAGGCGAGGTGAGTGACAGCCCGCCCCTCCGCGTGTCCCCCTGGCTGCCCGGCCCTGTCCCAGCGCTGTCCCCTCCCCTGCAGTACGTGGTGGACTGCGAGCAGGTGCCTCAGCTGCCCAACATCTCCTTCCACCTGGGAGGGAAGGTGTACGGCCTCAGCGGCCCGGCCTACGTGCTGCGGGTGAGTGACCAAAACCAGCCACAATCGGCCCCAAAATGACGCTCCTTGTTTGTCCTGAACCCTTCTCTTGGGTGGAGGTGCCCACCCGAGCCAGGGCGAGCTGTCCCTGCATCCTTGGGTGGTTTGGGGGGGATTTGGGGTCAGCCAAGGATGGTTTTTGCTGGGATTTGAATATCAGGACAGGTTTTTCACCCTGGGACAGCAGGAAGTGCTCACCAGGAGTTCACGGTGGGCAAATCCACATTTCCCTGTGCTCAGCACGAGCGGAGCTGCAGATCACCATTGTTTGTCTGTCCACACCCTGAGGAGCTGCTTATTCACCCAGGACAGAGCCCAGCCTACCTCAAACCTAAATCTGGGGAATTTGGGATAGCGAGCTCCTCCCGGGCAGCAGGGACCCACCAGCAGGAGGCTGAGGCTGCTGCTGCTTCCCGGCTCCAGCTCACCTGCGATTCCCACGGGAAGGAATTCCTGTGCCAAGGGCCACCCGCTCCGTGTGAGCCCTGCTGTGGTTCTGTTCTACGCCGGAGCTGCTGCCCGGCCCTCGGCACGGGACCATCCCATCCTGACCAAACCTTCAGGGCTCCTCGCGCTGCTTTTGCCGCTGCTGCTCCTGCTCGGGGCTCTGTCCCACGGTGGGATCCTCCCCACAGCGCCCAGCACCTCTGCGGGGCTTTGCCGAACCCAAAGGACGGCAGGGAGCTCACCCCCAGGCACAGGGTGGGGATTTTGGGGCCGGCTGCGCCGGGGAAGGAGCTGGTTCGGGGATCCTGGTTCAGGATATTCCACGATCCCCGAGGAAGGAACGCCGTGGCCAAGCGGGGGTTGTGGATGGGGGGCACGGTGACACCGGGACCCTGCCCCTGTCCCCTCCATCACCCCGCGGGTCTCCTTGTCGCAGCAATCGCAGTACGGCGAGGACGTGTGCGTGGTGGCTTTCTCCGGGCTGGACATCCCCCCTCCGGCCGGTCCCCTCTGGATCCTGGGCGCCACCTTCATCGGTCACTACTACACCAAATTCGACCGGCGCCACAACCGCATCGGCTTCGCCACCGCCCGCTGAGGGCCGGGGGCCGCGGGGGCCGGGCTGGGCGCGGAGAACCAGCCCGGAGGCTGCAGCAGCCCCGGGAAGCAGCGAGAGAACAGCAGCTCCCTTGCAGCTCTGCCGCCTCCTCCTCTCCGAAGCTTCCCAAACCCCCGCGCTGCTCCCCGGGAGCCGAGCCTGGAGCGGGGCTGGCCATCCCAGCGGGATCGGAGCGGCCCTTCCGGGGGGTTTTAGGGCGATGTGCGATGGATGGCAGGAGCAGCGCACGGGGATTTGCTGCTGGTGCGGCTGAGGGGCGCTCTGGGACTGTTCGTGTTGTTCCTAAATTGGGGGCAATAATCGGTGTTTAAGGAGAGTTTTGGCCGGTGTCAGCCCTGCCCCTCTTCGTGAGTTTGATATTAAACAATTTCAAGCACCAGGAGGATGAGTGGATGGTTGGTCTTGCAGAGGGGAGGGTCAGACACCTTTATTTAGGGAACTGGGCCACAAATGTCCCTGTGCCAGGAGCCACCTCTTCATTCCACCCCATAAGGGTGCAACGCCCTCCCCAGCTCCGGCAGGCAAATCGAGGGCTCTGCAAAGCTCTTCCTGCAGCTGGGATGGTGCCAGGAGCCCTGGTGTCCCCTTGGGAACAGGGCCACCCTGAGTGTCCCCCTGGGGACAGGGACACGGCTGTGCCTCAGATCTGCTGTGGCACCCAGGGAGGGGACAGTGCCAGCGGGTCTGTGTCACACAGGACGGTGGCTCCTGCCCCAGGGTCTGTTTTCAGGAAAAAGCAGAGGTTTTTCTCTGCCCTGGGTGTGGGGATGCCCCTGGAGGTGCCCCCTGTGCCAGCTGGCCTGGAGGGAGGGACAGGGCAGTGCTCCCAGCTGGGGGGACTTGCCCAGTTCCAGCCCTGGATCCCCATGCCAGGGGAACGCGGGCTGGCCTCCAGTTTGACCAGTTCAGGTGGCTGGGAGTGGGAAAGCTGCTCCTGGGGCAGGGCCTGGAGCGAATCAGGATCTCACCGTGGAGGAGCAGCCGCTGGCAGGAGCTCCTCACCCTCAGAGCTGCAGAGCTGAGCAATTCCCAGCACTCAGGAACCCCAGAGGTGACAATTCCAGTGCTCAGGAACTCCACATGTGACAATTCCAGCACTCAGGAACCCCAGAGCTGACAATTCCAGCGCTGACAAATTCCCAGAGCTGACAATTCCAGCGCTGACAAATTCCCAGAGCTGCCAAATTCCCTCTCAGCTGCAGGGATATTTGGGAAGGGGAGCCAGTGGCTGCTGCGTGACCCTTCCAGCACCTCCCCCTAAGCTCCCAGCCCTTTATCCACCCCTCCCCGCCCGGATCCTCATCCCTGCCCTGCCCCGGCAGCCGCAGAGCAGAGAGGATATGCCTGGGGCGGATGTTTGTCCCTCCTGGGAGCTTCTCCGCAGCCTCTCCGTGCTGGGATGCACAGCCCCGGGGGCTCCGGGGATGGGAAAATTCCGGCTCCTGTGGGTGGGATGTGGTTTTTTTTTCTGTCACCTCCAGCGCCGGGGTGGTGGCAGTGGCTCTGTGCTGCCGGGGGGTGGAGGGAAGGGATGAATTTCTGCTCTCATCCAGCGTTTCCTGAGCTGCTCACAGGAAAGCCCGGGAGCAGGGAAGCAGCGGCAGGGAGGGATGGGACCATCAGAAAAGAGGGAATCTGCCGAGGTCAGGGCACCCACAACCTTCTGAATGGCCAGAGATGCTTGGCGAGAGTCTCCTCTTCCTACAGGAGGGAAATCCCACTTGGAAATATCCCAACCTCCTCTGCCCTGTTCTCCACAGCCTGGAGAAGACTCGAGTGGGTGCAAAAGGTGCCTTCAGCCCCCGCCGCGGCTCCTACCAGATCCCTCAGCTAGAAAAGGCCCGGCCTGGCCTAAACCGGGATGGTTTTGGCGGAGCCGCTTCTGTTCCAACTCCGCGCACTCATTTCAAGCAGCAGGAGTTAAAATCCGCCCGAGCTGCTGCCGGGCCCCTTAAGCCGGGCTATTAACACCTCTAATCGCTGCTCCGGGGGCAATTTCCCGCTGGAAGCCTCGGCCCTGCCCGCGGGGCTCCGCCAGCCCGGATTAGATCGTTCCGGCCGAGCAATTAGGCCGCGCTCAGCGCAGCCAAGCGCGGCAGCAATTATGCCCATCCCATTAACACCAGCAGGGCTGGCGCTATTTTTAGCAACACGGGAAACTGCCCGGCGGGGTTTTTGTCCCCCGGCTCCTTTTCCTTAAATGATTTTTCCCCAGGTCTCCAGGGTGCGTTGGGCTGGTTCCGGGCACGGCAGGCTGGCACTTTTGGAGGGGGCACTCTGCGGAGCCGCCCATGTGACGCTGTTATTTCCTCTGATAATGAAGCCGCGTCCGGGAGCTGCGGGGGCTCTGCCAGCGGGAAAATCCCGCTCTGTCTTCACCCCCAAATCCTCTTCCCAGCCCGGCTGTGAATCGCTACGGAAGTCAGCGAGCGGAGGGTGCAATGGGAAAGGTTATCCCGAGCGGAGCCGTGGGGGCTGGAGCGCATCCCGTGCGTGGCTCCTCATCCTTTGTGACCCCAAAGGAGGGAGCGGGGGCTGCGCGGAGCCCCCCGGGACGGCGGAGGGGTTCAGCTGATGGATGGGTGGGCATTGGGCCGCAGGGTGTGGCGGGGGCGGTGCCGGTCCCGATCCTCTGGGGTGGTTTTGGGGTTCCAGGAATGGATGGGGAAGGCTCCGGCAGCAGGTGCGGAGGGAGGATCTCGGTGCGGGGCGGCTGCCGGGGGAGCTGAGAGGCTCCAGGAATGGGTGCGGGAGGCACCGACAGCAGCTGCGGCAGAGCGGGGTCCCGGTCCCGGTCCCGGTGCCGGCCGGACGGGACTCGGTTGCCCAGGACGCCGTGGATGGGATGCCCCATCCCGGTGCGGATCCCCTGCCCGGGATGCGGTACCGGTGCGGGTGGGATGTCGGTCCGCTGGTGCCGGTGCGGGTCGGGGGCGGGTGCGACGCCCAGGTCTCGGTGTGCGGGGGTGCGGATCCCTGACAGGGATGCCGGTCCCGGTAGGATGCGGGTCCTTGCCCGCGGTACCGGTGCCGGTAGGATGCGGATCCCCTGCCCGGGATGCCGGTCCCCGTAGGATGTGGGTCCCTGCCCGCGGTACCGGTCCCGGTAGGATATGGACCCGCTGCCGGCGGCGCCGGTGCCGGTAGGATGCGGGTCCCTGCCCCCGGTCTCGGTCCCGGTAGGATGCTGATCCCTTGTCCCCGGTCCCGGTAGGATGCGGATCCCCTGCCCTCGGTGCCGGTAGGATGCGCGTCCCCTGCCCCCGGTGCCGGTGCCGGTGCGGGCGCTGCCGCCGCTGCCGGGGAGGCGGGCGGGAGGCGGGCCGGTGACTCATGGCTTCCCAACGGCGGCGGCTCCTCCCCGCGGCCGCCGGCCCCGCGCAGCCCCCGGCACATGGGCCGCGGCTCCGGCAGCGCGGAGCTGGCCATGGCCGCACCGCCCGCCCGCTGCCCCGACTGCCCGGGGCCGGAGCGGGGGGGCGGCGGCGGGACCCCCGCCGTGCCACACCTCGGCATTGCGGTGGACGAGGGGGACGTGCTGCCCGGGGCGCTGCGGATCGTGCGGCGGCTGAGACCCGCCTGGGATCCGGCCGCGGTGAAGACCAAGGTACGGCGGGGACCCTGCGCCGGCACCCCGCGAACCGGCGGCCGCTCTCACCGGGGATCGCCCGCCGGGGCTGCGGAGCCCGCCTGGGGGGCGGTTGTGGGGTTCTGGGGTCTGTCTGAGCGGGCTGGGGTGCTCACCCCGGCGGGGTGTGGGGGCAGCTCAAGGGGGGCTGAGGGGCTCAGCCTGGGAGCTGTGGGGTCTGTCCTAGGGGGGCTGTGGGGCTCAGCCGGGGGGCTATAGGGGGGCTGTAGGGTTTAACCCGGGGGGCTACCGGATCTGTCCGAGGGGGAATGTGGGGGTCACCCAAGGGGCGCCGTGGGGTTCACTGTGGGGGGCTGTAGGACCAGCCCCAGAGGATGTGACACCCCGTACCCCCACCCCGGGTCTCCCTTCCGTGCCTAGAGCGTAACCGGGGGTTCATCAGCTGTGCAAAGGTGTGACACCCCCATCGCACACCCGCCCCACGAGGTTTAGGGACCCCTGGGGTGGTCACCGAGCGGTGGCTGTGGGTACAAAAGTGTCCCCAGGCTGGCAGCCGAGGCGCGCCCGCAGGAGCGGCCGCTCCCGGGAGCCGCTCTTGTTTGGGATATTTGTCGGCTCCTGCATTTCCCAGGCTGCGTGGGCTGAGCCCCAGTTCAGGTGGGAGCTGGACACCAGTCCCGGGTCCTGGCATGGGACAGGGCTCGGCTGTGCGGGGCTGCCAGGGCTGTGCTGGGAGAGCTGGGCTGGCGTGGGAATCGCTCTGGCCGGGGCTGGGGTGACACAGGCTGGTGGCGCCGGTGCCCTCGGCTGTGCCCTGGCTCTGGGCACCGGAGCGTGGAGGGGCTGGGACTGCGTGCCCTTAAATGTCTGCACGTGAGCCAGTGTCCCCTCCGAAGGCACACGCTTCCCGTCATTAAAAATGTATTAATAGCCAAGTGTAATTAAATACAAGAAGCTGCAGGAAAAGCCATCTGAAAGGGCAGATGGCAGCGGGCAGGAAGCTGGGAGTTGGAGTTTGCCGGGGCAGGAAATGTCTCGCTCCGCTCGCTGAGCTCGGTGGTTGTGGAGGGACCCCGGCTCTGCGGTATCCAGGCTCCGCAGGGGTCAGTGTTCCACAGCAGCTCGGGTGTGCGGGCGTGTGTTTTTAATTTAAAAAAAGAAAGGGGAAAAAAAAAAGAAAGAAAAAGATAAAAAAAAAAAAACCAAAACCACGCAGGAGTTGAGGGAAAACTCTCCCGTTGCGTTTCCCTCGGTTGCTTTCCCTCCTCCCGCGTTTCCCCTCGCAGGAGCCGCTCGGGATGGGATGGAGCGGGCCAGGGCCCTCAGCTGGTTCCCATTAGCGATCCCATTCCCTGCCCGGTGCCCTGGAGCACTGCCCCGTTCCCAGCACCTCGCGGGGGCTGTACCAGGCTGTGCTGGTGGCTTGGGAAAATCTCCCGGAGCTCAGGAACGCGGCAAGAAGGGTCTGGGAGCTCGGGCTGCCCTGCCATGCCTGCTTCCCAGAGCTCCTGCTCCTCATCCCTGAGGAATGTCTGTGACGCTGAGTCAGCTCCCCCTGCTCCCAGGGAAGCACAAATGCCTCCATCCATGGATTCCATCCATCCATCCATCCCTCATCCCTCCATCCCTCATCCATCCATCCACCATCCATCCAATCCATCATCCATCCATCCATCATCCATCCATCCATCCATCCATCCACCCATCCTTCCCTTCATCCATCCATCATCCATCCGTCCATCCATCATCCATCCATCCATCCATCCCTCATCCCTCCATCCCTCATCCTCCATCCATCATACATCCATCCGTCCATCATCCATCCATCCATCCATCCATCATCCATCCATCCATCATCCATCCATCCATCCATCCATCCATCATACATCCATCCGTCCATCATCCATCCATCCATCCATCCATCATCCATCCATCCATCATCCATCCATCCATCCATCCATCCATCTCTCAGCCAGAGATAACAGCAGCAGCGCCGCAGAGCCGAAGCCACGTGAGGTTGCCTTGCAGGGTTGGATGTTTTTAGCCCAGATTTGGTAACAAGTTGCCCTGCTGGTGGCCAGCTCCAGGCTGGGGGTGCCAAGGCAGCCAGCACGGCGGCGTTTTGGGAATGCTGAGGGATTCTCCCAGCAGGCGAAGCACCAGCAGTTGGATTTTGCTGCCTCACCCCAGCGCTTTGGCACAGGTCTCTCTTTGCGTTTAATCCCTGCAAAGTTCACGGAGTGTCACTCCTCCCCTCTGTCCCCGCTGCCACCCGGCTGCAGGAGGGAAGGATCTGGGGTGGCAGCAGGGTGGCTGCAGCCTGGATCCACAGGGAACAGCACCGGGCATCCCCCAGGCAGCCACCACCACCCTCGGGAGCCACCCCCAAACCCAGCGAGTCCCTGCAGGTCACGTGTGCATCTCCAGAGTTGGTGGCCTGGAATTCAGGGGGGATAAGGCTCAGTAATCCCCTTAAACCTGCTGGAAAGGGCTGGCCAGGCTGTGGGACAGCAAAACAAAGCAGCACCGAGGATTTCACTCCATGAGGAGCCGCTCACCTGCAGGTGACCCACGTGTGGCTCGTGGTGACACCTGCATGGATGGCATGTGTCACCTCTGCTGCCTGAATTTCCAGCCTCTGGGGCCTGGCAGGACAAGAGGAGGAAAGAGCTGAGCCCCGTGGTAAAACCCAGATTATCAACTCGGGGAAAAGCAGCTTGAGAAGGCTCAGCTGCAGCTGAGGGGCAGCACCCCTGAGGATGGGGCAGCGGCCTCGCCCTGCTCACCCCAAATCCAGCTGTGGAATGGGGGAATCACCCCTGTCTGGCTTGGAGGATCTCGTTCCAGTGCCTGGAGTCTCCCCTGGGAGGCTGCTTGGGGAGCCCTATATATAGGAACCCTATAGGGGAGCGTGGGTTGCTGAGTGGGATGTCTAAAATTATCCATCCCATCCCTGAGCGCCGTGGCTGCCGGAGCAGGAGCCCTCTCCCCTCTCCTGCTCCGGCTCCCTGATCCCACAGGGGTGAGGGAATCGTTCCCATGGGGAGCCACAGCACCCCAGAGTGCCCAGGTTGGAGCTGGCACGCTGGGGGTCAGTGGGACAGGGGTTTGCTGTGGGGTGACAGAACCCCAAACCCCCTCAGTGCCCTGGAAGTGCCCAAATCCCGGTGGGATGAAGGAATCATTCCCAGGAGAGCCACAGAGTGCCCAGCTTTGAGTTGAGCATCCCACGGTGTGGGGGGCAATGGGGCAAGGAATTCCTGTGGGGTGACAGAACCCCAAATCCCCTCAGTGCCCTGGAAGTGCCCAAATCCTGGCGGGATGAAGGAATCATTCCCATGGGGAGGCGCAGCACCCTGGAGTGCCCAGCTTGGAGCTGGCACGGGGGACAATTGGGGTGATTTCCCGTGGGGTGACAAGTCCCTAAATCCCCTTGGGTGCCTCAGAGGTGCCCAAAATCCCAGTGGGATGAAGGAATTCTGCGCAGGAGGAGCCACAGCACCCCAAAACTGGCACGGGGACAACAGGACAGGGATTTCTTGTGGGGTGACAGATCCCCAAACCCCCTCAATGCCCTGGAAGTTCCCAAAATCCCGGTGGGATGAGGGAATCATTCCCAGGGGAATCACAGCACCCCAAAACTGGCACAGGGACAACAGGACAGGGGTTTCTTGTGGGGTGACACGTCCCCAAACCCCGCCGGGAGCCCCGGAGGTGCCTAAATCCCGGCGGGATGGGGCACGGAGCCCGGCACGGGCGGCAGCAGCCCCGGCATGTGCGCGGGCAGGCGGCCAAGGCGGAGCTCCGGGAGAACAAAACTCCCTTTCCATCTGCGAGGAGCCGTCAGAGCGGTGACACGAGATGTCCCCAGCAGCGACGTCCCCGCCTATCAGCGCCCCGGCCCGCGGGGAGGGTCGGAGGAGGGGATGGGGGGTGGTGTTTGCTCCGACCTTGTTTTCAGCCTCGTTGGCTGGTTTATTTATTTATTACTTTTTTAATTTCGTGCCAATTTACACTGATTTTTTTTTTTCTTTCCTCCCCTGGGGAGACATTCCCGGGGCTGCTCCCGTGCCAAGCGTGCTGGTGGCACATCTGGCCTGAGCTGTTCCTGAGCTATCCCTGAGCTGTTCCAGGTGAAATCAGCAGGATTTCCACCCAAACCACCACCTCTGCCTGCAGAGGTGTTCCTGAGATATCCCTGAGCTGTTCCAGGTGAAAAATAATAGGATTTCTACCCAAACCACCACCTCTGCCTGCAGAGGTGTTCTTGAGCTGTTCCAGGTGAAAAATAACAGGATTTCCACCCAAGCCACCCCTTCTACCTGCAGAGGTGTTCCTGAGATATCCCTGAGCTGTTCCAGGTGAAATTAGCAGGATTTTCACCCAAACCACCACCTCTGCCTGCAGAAGTGTTCATGACATATCCCTGAGCTGTTCCAGGTGAAAAAGCAGAGGTGTTCCTGAGCTATCCCTGAGCTGTTCCAGGTGAAATCAGCAGGATTTCCACCCAAACCACCACCTCTGCCTGCAGAGGTGTTCCTGAGATATCCCTGAGCTGTTCCAGGTGAAAAATAATAGGATTTCTACCCAAACCACCACCTCTGCCTGCAGAGTGTTCTTGAGCTGTTCCAGGTGAAATGAGCAGGATTTCCAACCAAACCACCTCTTCTACCTGCAGAGGTGTTCCTGAGCTATTGCAGGTGAAAAATAACAGGATTTCCACCCAAGCCACCCCTTCTACCTGCAGAGGTGTTCCTGAGATATCCCTGAGCTGTTCCAGGTGAAATTAGCAGGATTTTCACCCAAACCACCACCTCTGCCTGCAGAACCTTGAACCTCAGTCCTCCCAAACTCATCTCACTCCCCCAGGATCTTTCCTGGCTGCGCTGCCTCGCTCCTTTTCCTCATTTTTGCCATTCCCACGAGTTTTTCCCACCGGTGGGAAGCAGACACGGGGTTCCCCCATTCCCAGCCTTACCCGGGTGTCACCCTGGCCGTGTCTGTCCCCACCCAGCTCTTCACTGATGGCATCACCAACAAGCTGGTGGCCTGCTACATGGACGAGGGCATGGTGGACGCGCTGCTGGTGCGAGTGTACGGCAGGAAAACCGAGCTGCTGGTGGACAGGGAGACGGAGCTGAGGAATTTCCAGGTGCTCCGAGCCCACGGTTGCGCCCCCGACCTCTACTGCTCCTTCCAGAACGGGCTCTGCTACCAATTCCTGCCGGGAATCGCGCTGGGACCCGACCACGTGAGGGATCCCCACATCTTCAGGTGTGTGGGACGTCCTAGGGGGGGTCTGGGGGTTCCCCTTCAATTTTTCTCTTGATTTTCTGGGGGTTTGTTCTGTGTTTCCAGCTCTCCCCTGACTGCCGTGGGTGGGGGTCACTGGTGTGCCCAGTCCTGGGTGGTGTCGGGGGGTAAATGGGTCAGACTGCAGCCAGAGATGTCAAAATTGCCACATTTCTAATTTTTATCAGGTTTTGGTGAAAAGAGGTTTCCTGGGAAGCCGGAATTAAGTTTTCCTGGGAAGCTGGAATTAAAAGTTTCCTGGGAAGTTTGAATTAAGTTTTCCTGGGAAGCTGGAATTAAAGTTTCCTGGGAAGTTGGAATTAAGGTTTCCTGGGAAGCTGGAATTTAGTTTTCCTGAGAAGCTGGAATTAAGGTTCTCTGGGAAGCTGGAATTCTTCTGGGAAGCAGAGTTTAGGGCTGAATTTACCCGAAAATGGCAATTCTGAAATGATTCAGAGGCCGATCCCTGACACGGCACGAGGGCTCAGCTGTGCTCACCCCGTGGTTTAAGCAGGATTTTCAGGGAACCCCCATGAAGACACCCCCAAAGCTCTTCGGGGGATTTTGCAGGGGGGATTTTGAGGATTTGGGATCCCCCCTCACCCCTCTGCTGTGCTCCACACCAGGCTGGTGGCCCGGGAGATGGCCCGAGTCCACGCCATCCACGCCAACGGGAGCCTCCCCCGGCCCATGCTGTGGCAGAAGCTGCACAAATACCTCAGCCTGGTGAAGACAGAGCTCAGCCCAAAGGTATCCAACGCCAGGTAAAGGCAGAGGGATCCCACAGAGCCAGGCTCTGCCTCGGGCACCCCCTGCCCACCCCCTCTGGGGCCGAGGTTCCCAGGTAAAGCCTCTGCAGGGATTTGGGGCTGGATCCCTCTCAGAAGCCCTGGAGCAGCTCCAGCCCCTTCCTGCTGCCAGTTTGGGGAGGATTTCAGCTTTTTTGGAGCTCTGGGATGTGTCAGTGCAGGATCCAGCTGGAGGCACAGCCTCCCACTGCTGGAACAATCCTCCTTCTCCTCCTCCCGGAAATTTAGAATAAACCCGAGCTCAAGCCCCGCTGAGCTGACGATTAACTCTAAAAATTAAACCACTCAGCTCCCACTTCCAACCAACCCATCCCGCTTTTTGGGGCGGCTGGTTTGACCCGGCAGGTGAGAGTTGGGGTGTCTGGGAAGGATTGGGGCAGCCCCAAGAGGCGGAGGAGGTGAACGAACCCTGGGCAGGGCAATCATTAACCCGCGGCAGGAGCCAGCCGGGCTTTTCTCAGCGCCCGCCGGGCCACGGGCAGACTTTACCCACCCTGCGCCTTCAGCGCAGCCAATTAGGCAATCATTAACGAGCTTTTTTCTTGGAAGCCGCGCTCCTGAGGTTACCGCCGGGCTGCCAGAGTCCAAAACATCCCCGCGCCCCGGGGGCTCCGCCGGCTGCTCGGGGAGCGAGCGCTGGGTGGATTTGGGGATGGGCGTGGGGGGTTTTGGGGACACGGGATGCGCTGAGGCTGAGGTGGGTGGTTGCCTGGGTACCAAACGTGGTCCCCTCCCCAAAAGCAGCCTCGTTAGTCGCGCTTTGTGTCGTTAATGGGATCGTTTGTAAGGCAAGAGAGGGAAACTGGGGAAATTCTGCTCCTGTGACCCCAGGGAAGCGCTGGAAGTCAGGGAAGAGAAATTCTCCTCCTGAGCAGCCCCCAGGGAACTGCTGGAAACTGGGGAAATTCTGCTCCTGTGACCCCAGGGAACTGCTAGAAGTCAGGGAAGAGAAATTCTGCTCCTGTGGCCTCAGGGAAGCGCTGGAAGCTGGGGAAATTTTGGAAATTGGGAAAATTCTAGAATTTGGGGAAGTTCTGCCCCTCAGCCCCCAGGGAAGTGCTGAAAGCTAGGGAAGCACAATTCTGCTCTTGTGGCCCCAGGGAAGCGCTGGAAACTGGGGAAATTCTGGAATTTGGGGAAATTCTGCTCCTGTGGCCCCAGGGAAGCGCTGGAAGTCAGGAAAGAGCAATTCTGCCCGAGACCCCTGGGAAGCGCTGGAAGTTGGTGAAATTCTGGAAGTCGGGGAAATTCTGCCCCTGAGCCGCCAGGGAAGTGCTGGAAGCTGGGGAAACACTGGAAGTTAGGGAAATTCTGCCTCTGAGGCCCCAGGGAAATGCTGGAAGTCAGGGAAGCACAATTTGCTCCTGTGGCCCCAGAAAAAGCTCTGGAAGTCAGGGAAGCGCTGGAAGCTGGGGAAATTCTGGAATTCAGGGAAATTCTGCCCCTGAGCCCCCAGCGAAACACTAGAAGCCAGGGAAATTCTGCTCCTGTGGCCCCAGGGAAAGCTCTGGAAGTCAGGGAAGAGCAATTCTGTCCCCAGAGCCCCCAGGGAAGCACTGGGAGCGCGGGAAACGCCACCCCCGAGCCCCCAGGGAAGCTCTGGAAACGGAGAAAACGCCACCCCCGAGCGCCAGGGCGGCTCCCCGAGAGCAGCAGCGATGCCACCCTGTCCCTTTTGTCCCCCCGGCCAGCCTCCCGCGGGACGTGCCCAGCCCCGAGGCGCTGGAGCAGGAGCTGGCCTGGATGGAGGAGACGCTGTCGCAGCTGGGGTCCCCCGTGGTGCTGTGTCACAACGACCTCCTGTGCAAGAACATCATCTACGACAGGACACGAGGTCTGTGCGCCCGGGGGGGGTCACTGTCAGCCGTCAGGAACACAGAACCAAGGAATTATAATTGTCATTATGGAGGAATTATAATTATCAATAATCACGGAATTATAATATGCAGGTGATTTTATTGAAGAGCTCTGGGTGTCAGGGGTACAGACCCAAATCTGACTCTGCCATGGGTTCAGGATGAGCATGTTTTTATATTATTATCATTATATAATTACGTATTAATTATTAAACTTATATTTTTCTATTGTATACATCGATTTCATCCAAGCATGGATTCTTCTAATTTCCATCAAACCCCCCAAACATCGTTTCTCATTATTCTTGTTACGATTAAACAATAATTATATCCAATTACCAATCATCGCATGTAACAATCATATCATTTATCATATAACAATCATTTAATTTCTCATAGTTATTATTTATCATAAACATCATCATCATAAATATCACATAATAGTTATCATTATTTACTATCATAGTCATTATCACTTAATTTATTATTCATTAAATGATTACACAGGTGTAGCCTAACATTTTCCCAGGGCCTACCCTGACGTTTTCCCAGGGCCTACCAGGCCCAACCTTTCTTTCCAACTCCCCTGACTATCCCACGATTTTAGAAACATTTTATCCCCGTGCTGTCATCACCCCTGTCCCCGCCCCTGGCGGTTTTTGTCCCCGCAGAGCGCGTGCGCTTCATCGACTACGAGTACACGGGCTACAACTACCAGGCCTTCGACATCGGCAACCACTTCAACGAGTTCGCAGGTGGGGAGCAGCTGGGGACCCCCAAAATCCCCCCAGCCCCGGCCTGGGGTGTCCCCATCACTGGGATGGAGGAGGGAGTTATCCCCAGTCCCATACTGGGAAATGGGGTGTCCCTGTCACTGGGAATTGCATGTCCCATACTGGGAAATGGGGTGTTCCTGTTACTGGGAATTCCAGTCCCATACTGGGAAATGGGGTATCCCTGTTACTGGGAATTCCCTGTCCCATACTGGGAAATGGGGTGTCCCTGTTACTGGGATGGAGGAGGGAGTTTTATTCCCAGTTCCATACTGGGAAATGGGTGTTCCTGTTACTGGGAATTCCAGTCCCATACTGGGAAATGGGGTGTCCCTGTTACTGGGATGGGGGAGGGAGTTGTCCCCAGTCCCATACTGGGAAATGGGTTGTCCCCATCTCTTGGGGTAGAGAAGGGAATTTTGTCTCCTTGTTACTGGGAATTCCCTGTCCCGTACTGGAAAATGGGGTGTCCTGTCACTGGGAATTCCAGTTCCATACTGGGAAATGGGGTGTCCCGTCACTGGGAATTCCATGTCTCATACTGGGAAATGGGGTATCCCTATTACTGGGAATTCCAGTTCCATACTGGGAAATGGGGTCCCTGTTACTGGGAATTCCAGTCCCATACTGGGAAATGGGGTATCCCTGTTACTGGGAATTCCATGTTCCCTACTGGGAAATGGGGTGTCCCTGTTACTGGGATGGAGGAGGGAGTTTTATTCCCAGTTCCATACTGGGAAATGGGTGTTCCTGTTACTGGGAATTCCAGTCCCATACTGGGAAATGGGGTGTCCCTGTTACTGGGATGGGGGAGGGAGTTGTCCCCAGTCCCATGCTGGGAAATGGGTTGTCCCCATCTCTTGGGGTGGAAAAGGGAATTTTGTCTCCAGTGCTGGGGTGGGAAATGGGATTTCCCCATCCCTGGGATGGAGGAGGGAGTTGCATTCCCAGTCCCAGGGTGGAAAATGGGGCTGTTCTGGGGTCTCCTGATCCCTGGGAATGGAGGAGGGAGTTGAACCCCAAATCCCATGATGGGAAATGGGGTCTCCCCATCCCTGGGATGGAGGAGGGAGCCTCACCCCAAACCCTACAGCAGGAAATGGGGCTGCCCATGGTCACAGCGGGGTCTCTGCTGCTCCTGGGCACCCCGATGCCCCTGGGGTGCCAACCCTGGCTCCTCACCCCGAGGGCCAGCAGCTGATCCTGGCTTTGTGCCTGGCTGGGGTTGTGCTCTCCTCACTTTACTGTGGAGACCCCAATCTGTCCCTGTCCCCTCCTGTCCCCCCGTGTCCCCCTGTCCCCCCAGGTGTGAAGGAGGTGGATTATGGCCTCTACCCTGGCAAGGAGACGCAGCTGCAGTGGCTGCACTCCTACCTGCAGGCCTACAAGGAGCTCACCCAGGGCCACCCAGGTGACAGCCAGGTGTCCCAGGAGGAGCTGGAGACCCTCTACGTGCAAGTGAACAAGTTCTCCTTGGTGAGTGAGGAGGAGGAAGGAGCCGAAAACAGCCCAGGCATGAGGGAGTTCTCTGCTCTTGGCCTTCCAGCTGACCTGGCCAGCGCCAGGTGCCAGCCTGGGGGCTTGGGGACATCGGGGACAGGCTGTGCCTCGGCCCTGGCAGTGCCTCAGGGACGCTGAGCCCCGGGCAAGGTCACGGGGGTGTGTTGGGGACAGCTGTGCCCGACAGGGTGGCCTTGGGCAGTCCTTCAGAGGGGTCAGGCACGGCTGGAGTGAGGAAATCCTCTTTGCTGACTGCCAGGGGCGGCCCCAGCCGATTTTCTGGAAATTTTGGGTGAAATATTCTCTGTGTTCCTGGCTGCAGCTGCCGGGAGGGCAGCACAGGGGTGGCATCCCAAGTCCAGCACCCTCCCTGCTGCCATCCCTGGCTCCAGCCAGGAGCAGCCCCTGGAGGGCACAGAAATCCCGCTGTGGGTCCGTGTCCTGTCCTTGTCACAGCCCTGGGGGTTGGGGCACAGGGGTTTCTGTCCCCGCAGCTGTTCCCTGATCCTTGCTCTGCCCCTTGCAGGCGTCCCATTTCCTCTGGGCCTGCTGGGGCCTGATCCAGGATAAATATTCCACCATAGACTTTAATTTCTTACGGTGAGTCCACTCAGGCTGCTCCCAGGGAAATGGGCGGGGAGGGAGGATCCCGGGGAGCATCCTGGTAATCCGTGGGGAGGATCCTGGGGAGGATCCCTGGGAAGGATCCCGGTAATCCCTGGGGAGGATCCTGGGGAGAACCCTGGTGGTCCCTGGGGAGGATCCTGGGGAGGATCCTGGGGAGGATCCCAAGGATCCTGGGGAGGACCCTGGTGGTCCCTGGGGAGGATCCCAGGGAGGATCCCAGTGGTCTCTGGGGAGGATCCCAGGGAAGATCCCGGCTGTCCCCGGGGAGGATCCCGGCTGTCCCCTGGGAGGATCCCAGCAGTCCTTGGGGAGGATCCCGGCTGTCCCTGGGGAGGATCCTGGGACAAACGCCAGCAGTCCCAGGGGACACGAGTGGCTCCGAGCCGTCCCTCCTCTCTCTCTCTCTTTACAGATATGCAAAGTTAAGGTTTAAACAGTACTTCAAGATGAAGCCGGTGGTCACAGCCCTGCAGGTCCCCAAGTAGGGGCCGCCCCGAGCTCTCCTGTCCTGGCCGTGCCCTCGCGCCCCCCTCGCCCAGCGGTGCCAAGGGGGACAAGAGGAGCCCTGCCCCGGCCACCACCGCTCCCAGGAGAGCCTGGCCACCCCCAAGACTGGACCACGAGATGCTGGAGAGGACCAGGGCCCCGCGAGGCCCCAGCCCACGCCAGGAAGCCCCACCACCGCCTTAACGCCCGGTGCCGGTGCCCGGCAGGTCCGTGCCCCGCTGGCACTGCTGCTGCTGCCCGGCCTGGCACCAACCCCTCCCCTGCGCTGTCCCCGAGGGGGACACGGCGTCACCCCGGCCGCTCAGGGCCCCCAGAGCTGCCCCACTGTCCCCTCCTGCCCCGCTGGGTGCCACCCTCAAAGCAGCGCTGTCCCATGTCCCTGCTGGCCCCCAGCACGGGACCCTTGTCCCTGAGGGGTGGCAGCTGTGGGCAAAGGGGCAGTGCCAGCCGTGAGCCCCTGGCACCTGTGGGGTGCTGCTGTGGGCACGGGGTGCCCGCCCCCCCTGCGTCGTTCCAGCCCGGGGGTGTCCCCACAGCTGCCCCTGCCTGTCCCCACTGTCCCCTTGGCTTGGTGGCTTCTCCCCCGCCCCCAGCTCTGCCCCCAGGGGGTCTGGGGACATCCAGGGAGGTCTGTCCTGCCTGTCCCCACCCCTGTCCTCCTCCCTTGGCTGTGTCCCCATCCCTGGCAGGAGGTGGCACGGAGCTGCCCCGCTCCAGGACCGGGCACAGCTTCACCCCCACCCCCCTGCCCTGCTGAGCCCGTCGAGCTCAGCTCAGCAATCAGGGCCCTGTGCCCCCCCTGCTGTGGGGACAAGGTGACTGTCCCTTCCCCAGGCACAGGGACCTCCCCCACAGCCCTGTGCCACCTCAGCTGTGGGGACAAGGTGGCTGTCCCTTCTCCAGGCACAGGGATGTCCCCGAGAGCCCTGTACCCACCTTGGCTGTGGGGACAAGGTGACTGTCCCTTCTCCAGGCACAGGGATGTCCCCCAGGCAGACCCAGGGCTGCTGGCACGTCCGTGTTTGTTTCAGTGGGAAATAAAAGCTGCTGGTAGCTGGAATTTGGGGCTGTGGATCTGGGGCTGGAGCAGGGGCAGCCCCCCCGGGCTCTGGGGGTGCTCCTGTCCCTTCTGTACCCCAAGATGTCCCCATCCAACCCTCACCCCCACTCTGGTGAAGCCCAAGCCCCTTTCTCTGCTCCAAAAAGTCACTTTTATTGTGCCAAGGGCCAAGGGGAGGAACGATTGTAAACAGGGATGTGAAATATACAGGTTAAGTTACTCGTCGTCTTATTAACAAAATAAAGCTCTATCTATATTTACAATCTTTAAAAAACAAAACGAAACAACAAAAAAATAAAAAGTAATGGAAGAGAGACAAGAAGAGCTGCAGCTGTGGGGGGGGGACACATCTGCTGCCAGTCCCTCTGCAGCACAGCCTGGCCCAGCGCTGGAGTGGGACCCCTCCCCAGGGACCCCTGTCTGTCCCCAGGGACCCCTGTCCCACCTCAGGGACCCCTGTCCCTCCCCAGAGACCCCTGTCTGTCCCCAGGGACCCCTGTCCCACCTCAGGGACCCCTGTCCTTCCCCGGGACCCCTGTCCCACCTCAGGGACTCCTGTCCCTCCCCAGAGAGTTGGGAATAAATAAAGCACTGACAAAGGGCAAGGGAGCAGGGAGGGGCTGGCAGGGCAGGGCAGGGGCTGGCGGGATGTCCCCTGGGATAAGGGATGTCCCCACGGCAGTGTCCCCAGCACTCGGGTGCTGCTGCTGAGATTGGGATCCCCAGCCCAGCCCGGCTTGGGGACAAGGCACTAGAGGGACAAGGGGACAGAGGCTGGTGCCCACTTTGTGCAGCCTCGAGCCCAGGTGGCCACGGCTCCCGTGGTGTCCCCAGCACAGTGACAGTCCCTGCAGTGTCCCCAGCGCTGTCGCTGTCCCCAGCACAGTGACAGTCCCTGCAGTGTCCCCAGCGCTGGCGCTGTCCCCGCGCTGTCCCCAGCACAGTGACAGTCCCTGCAGTGTCCCCAGCGCTGGCGCTGTCCCCGCGCTGTCCCAGGCTCGGGGCTGTTCCCGGCTGTGCCACACGGAGGTGCCGGAGCCCCGCGCACAGAGGGACAGCGGGGACACGGCCGGGGAGAGAGCGGCTGGGCACAGGGGGACAGGGCACACACCTGGGCATGGCACACACACCTGGACATGGCACACACACCTGGGCATGGCACACACACACACACACACACACACACACCTGGGCATGGCACACACACTTGAACATGGCACACACACACACACACACACACACACACACACACACACACACACACACACACACACACACACACACACACACACACACACACACACACACACACACACACACACACACACACACACACACACACACACACACACACACACACACACACACACACACACACACACACACACACACACACACACACACACACACACACACACACACACACACACACACACACACACACACACACACACACACACACACACACACACACACACACACACACACCTGGGCATGGTAAACACACACACCTGGGCATGGTAAACACACACACCCGGGCATGGCACACACACACCTGGACATGGCACACACACACCTGGGCATGGTAAACACACACACCTGGGCACTGAACACAGCTGGACATGGCACACACCTGCATGCTGCCACACAGAGGGACACTGCACTCACTTGGGCATTGCACACACACCTGGGCACTGCCACTCGCCTGGACACTGGCACACACACACACCTGGGCATGGCACACACCTGGGCACTGCCACACGGAGGGACACTGCACACTCACCTGGACCCCACACATGCACACCTGGGCACTGCCACACACCTGGACATGGCACACCCACCTGGCCACCCCTAAATCTCACCCATGCCCAGCCACACCCCAGCCCCTGGAGCAGGCTCTCACCACACCGCGCTCTTTTTTTCTCACAATTCCTTTCCCCTCAGCCGCTCCTTTCCCTCCCCTCACCCCGCAGGGCTCAGGTGCAGCCCGGGCTGCAGGGCCAGGTGCCCGGGCACAGGCGGGCATGTCCCCCCCCCGAGCGGGGCTGGCAGGGCAGGAACAGCCCCCGCTTTATTCCCAAAGTGGGCCAGAGCTGCCGGCAGCACAAAGGGCCCCGAGGAGCCCTTGGCCGGGGCCAGGCTGGAGCTAAAATTGGCTCGGGGGGAATTCGCTGGCAGGCACCAAAGAGCGAGCGGGAAGCGCGGAGGGGAGGTCACGCCAGGATAGAGGAGGGACGAGTGTGTCCCTGTCCTGTGTCCCCAGTCTGAGTCCTTATCCTGTGTCCCCACCCTGTGCCCAGCAGGTGAGGCTCTCCAGGACCCGCAGTGCCGCAGGGCTGGAGATGCTCTGGAGGTTCCCCGCAGCCTCAAGTCCCCTCAGGGGTGACAACACAGCAGCCACAGCGTCACCAAATCTCCAGGCTCGCTGGCCTCGGCTCCACGTGCCACCAAAGCAAGGCCAAGCCAGTCCGTGCCACCCAAAATCCCAGGTGCCCACCCTCGTGGGACCCTTCTACAGGTGGGCAGCTCCCCCGTGGCAGAGTGCCATCCCACCAGGACATGCGGTGCCCTCCCGGAGGTGGCAGCCAGCCCTGCCACCCCCTCCGCTGTCCCCTGTCCCCTCAGTCCGTCAGCACCACCAGCTCGCCGTCACTCTTGTCCTCGCCCTCCGAGTCCTCGTCCTCGCTGTAGCGGTACATGTCCCCCTCGGGCACCGAGTGCCCGTCGTCCCCGGCGTCGCCGTCCTTGAGGCTGCGGGTGTTGACGATGACGGGCATGGTGGGGTCCACGCCGCGGGGCAGGTAATGCTCCAGGAGGGGCGGGGGCAGCTGCACGCCCACCGGCCGCGGGTACAGCACGTCCGAGGAGCTGGGGGGCACCTGGCTGCCCTGCGGCCTGGGGGACACGGGGGTGGGCACTCAGAGGGGCAGACAGGGCTCAGGGGGCTGTCCTCAGCCACCCCGAGGGGGGAATTATGAGAGGGGCAGGTGGGCATCAACCCCATGGGCACCAGGTGGGCACGCACCTCATCGACATCAGGTGGGCACCAACCCCATGGGCACCAGATGGGGTCCCACCCATGTCACCAGGTGAGCCCCACACCAGCACCACCCCTCTGAGCCCGCGGGGCAGGGCACACAGGGGGTCCCTTATCAATCCCCCCTTATCAATCCCGCTTACCTATCCCCCATATCAAATCCCCCTTACCAATCCCCTTTACCAATCCCCCCGTACCCATTACCAATCCCCCTAACCAATCCTCTCTTATCAATTCCCCTTACCAACCCCCCCATACCAATCCCCCCTTATCAATCCCCCTTATTTATCCTTCATTGCCAATCCCCCAACCAATCCCCACTACCAATTCCCCCTTACCAATCCCCTTTATGAATCCCCTCATACCAATCCCCTTTACCAATCCCCCCTTATCAATCCCCCTGTACCAATCCTCCTTATCAATCTCCCTTACCAATCCCCCACCCCTTATCCATTCCCCCTTTATCAACCCCATTACCAACCCCCCTTATCAATCCCCTTATCAATTACCCTATCAAGTATCCCTGCCTGGCGTCCTGGCGCCGGTTCCTCATCAGCGCCTTGTACTCGCCCACGCGCAGCCGCTTGCCCTCCACGATGCAGGTGCGCTTGGGCCGCGGTTTGTATTTGTAGTCCGGGTACTTCTCCAGGTGCTGCCGGCTCAGCCGCGCCTGCTCCTCGTAGTAGGGCTGCTTCTCCTGGTTGGACATGGATTTCCAGCGGGATCCTGCGTGGGGAAAGGAGGAGAGCGTCCTCACAGCCTGCCTGAGCCAGGAGATCGGGGTGAACCCATCCCGAGCTTGATTGGTGCTGTTGGTTGATTAATTAATGATGTTAATTAATGGCGTTGGTTGTGGGAATGGTGCCTGGATTTATGGCAGTGCTGGTGGGAGACATGTGCCGCAGCTGCTTCTGCTGGAATATCGGGAACAGCTTCCCTGAATTTCTCTGGGCATTTCCAGGGATTCATCCCTTCATTCCCTGACCTTCCCTCCTGGATTCATCCCCCCATTCCCTGACTTTTCCTCCCAGGATTCATCCCCTCATTCCCTAACCTTCCCCAGGTCAGGGAGGTCCCTCTGTGGCAATTAAGAGTGGATCCCCTGTCTCCAGATCTTGTTCCCACCCCTCCAGGCGATGCAGAGGGGATCCCCATCCCCAGGTCTCATTCCCATCCCTCCAGGGGCTGTAGAAGGGCTCCTGCCCCAGGATTTTTGGGGGGAAGCAGAGGGAATCCTGCCCCAGGAGGTCGTTCCCATCTCTCCAGAGGCTGCAGAGGGGCTCCTGCCCCGGGATCTCACCCAGGATCTTGCTGATGCTGGAGTTGTGCATGTCTGGGAAGGCCTGCAGGATCTTCCTGCGCTCGTCCTTGGCCCACACCATGAAGGCGTTCATGGGCCGCTTGATGTGGTTGTTGTTCCTGGACTCTGGGAAGTGCCGGGAGCCTGCCGGGACACGCGGGATGAGGGCAGGAGCCAGGGGACAGAGCCACTCTGGGGTCACCACCGTGCCCTGGCCACCCTCACCGTCCATCTCGCAGCTCAGCAGAGCCTCGTCCAGCCGGTGGCCGGGGTTCTCCTCCATCCGCTCCTTCACCGGGGAGGAGTCAATCCCGACGGGCTCCTGTGGGACAGCGGGGTCAGGAGCCAGCCCCCAGCCCGGGGACAGCTGTGGCTGGTGACCTGGGGTGGCAGAGGGGACGGTGACAGCACAGAGTGACGCTCACCTTGCGGTAGGGGCTGCTCAGTGACCCCTCCATGGCGGCGCCGTGGCCGTGCAGCAGCTGCCGCGCGTCGTGGATGGCTTTGGTGATGGCATCGCCCTCTCCCAGGAATCCTGGCAGGACACGGGCACCCGTCAGTGCCAGCGGCCACCCCACTGACCCCCCCAGAGTACCCACCCCCAGAGGCATCCTTCAGTGCCAGCAGCCACCCCACTGACCCCCCCAGGGTACCCACCCCCAGGGGCACCCGTCAATGCCAGCGGCCACCCCACTGACCCCCCAGAGTACCTGTCAGTGCCAGCAGTGACCCCGCTGACCATTCACACACCCACCCCATGGGCATTCATCAGTGCCAGTGGCCACCCCAGAGTCCCCAGAGTACCTGTCAGTGCCAGTGGTCATCCCACTGACCACTCACAACATCCACCCCCATGGGAACTCATCAGTGCTAGTGGGCACTCCACTGACCACTGCTGACCCCCCACAGCACTGATCCCTAAAGGTGCCCATCAGTGCCAGTGGTCACCTCACTGACCACCCACACACCCACCCTTATGGACACCCATCTGTGCCATTGGTCACCCCACTGACCACTGCTGAGCACTCACAGCACCCACCCTCATGGGT